TCGAGGCCGTAGGGACAGATTACCGACTGCGTGGGAAGTGCAGCCTCAGATGAATCATCAGCGTACGTGACAATTGTAAGGCGTGAAATGTTTTTGTTATGGGCCAAAGATGAATGCATGGACAGTAGAGGGATGATGGCATAGTTGGTAAATGCAGGAAGCCTTAAGTGAACAGGCACCCAGCAGTTGGCCCAGAAACTGCGGACATCTTCTATTTAATTGGGATATATTGAAATCAGTCTCTATGAAATATGCTGCTCCGTCAGGTAGTTTCTTGGTCACTGCCTTCTCCCTCTAATATTTTGACAAGGAAAAAATCATTTATTGACAGTTTTTAGTTGCATAATTTTAACACATTTAGCCTCTAATAATGCATTTCATTTATTCTAAGTTGCCTGTGTTTTCACATATTTAATATCTGTGCGTCTTATAACTGATAGAATCTAGAGGGGAAGCTGTATTGGATGTCAATGGTTTTACAGATTTCCTCTGTATTTACATTAAGACCCAACTTTAATTTTTTTTTGAAGTTCTACTTTTCCTACATCAACCTGTCATGCTGTCAGATTAAGTTGCAATTTAAATTGATTTTTTTAAAAAAAGTGATGGATATTAAAATGCAGTTTTACTCATAACCTCTAATCATGAACTTAGGAATACTTCTCTTAGGTTAAAACATTCTTGGGGTGCTTGGCTGGCTCAGTCTGAGAGCATGTGAGTCTTGATCTCGGGGTCATGGGTTCAAGCCCCACGTTGGGTATAGAGATTATTTAAACAATTCTTAGAAGTTTCCAAAGAAATAATCTTGGGATAGATTCGCATAAAAGATGTATAGTGATTTTGTGCCATCTCTCTCACTGTGTGCGCTTGCATGTGTATGTGTGTGCATGTTGGTGAGAGGTGGTAATGCTTTGCTTAATAGTTGGCAGTATGACCTTTGTGATAATGAAAATAAGGTAGTATGATTTCTCATAGTTACCTTAGGTTCTTGAGAAGACAGTAATGGACAGCACAGAAATATTGTGTGTGTATCTGAGTTTATTGTCTATTGGCTTAAATATCCATTCTGTAAAATAGCAGTGTAGTTTTTGTCATTAGCAAAAAGTGCAGTTTATATAGAAAATTGTCGTAGACAACAGACAGAAGGTTACTGGTTTCTGGAAACCTCATGCAGACCTGACAACATTAGGGTCTTAGTAGGTGTAATATATAGGTATATATAAATCACAGGCAACTCACAAAAGTGTCAGTGCACTGTTAACTGTGGGGAATTTTCTTTCAAGTATCCAAAGCTGGAGTAGGAGCTAAAACTGGTACAGTTGATAACATTATACACTAATGTGCACTGCCCTCCTTCTTTAGAAAGCAGCTTAGTTATACATTGACCCATGACAATGATCTAAACTTGTGAACCAGTCATCCTATTTTGGAGATCATTCCTAAGGAGATAAAAAACAGAATTATTTTTAAAAAACTGTGTATATGAAGATTTCCCTCATAGTGTAAGAAGTTTGTAAGGACCTAAATCCTAAGAATAGGGGATTGGCTAAGTAAAGTATAGGAATAATACTTGGTAGGCCATTGTGTATCCATAAACAGTAAATATACTGGAATGGGGTACAGATCACTTGCCAGTAACGAAATAGGACATAAGTGGTATGCTGATTAGAGCTGTTTTTTTTTTTTTTAAGAGTAAGTAACAGGTAATGGTTGTGAATTTATGAGTAATTTTTAAACAAAATATTTTGACTCTTGCAAATTTTTGTTGATGATACTTGTTAAATTTAGGACTGAGCAAGTGACTTTTATCCATCAGTACTGCCGACTAACCAGGTCTCTTTCAGTGACAAGTTAAAATTGATCTTAAAATTTTTTAAAAAATAATTCTGACTTCTGTAACCAGAGTTCATGGAGTAAACTGGGTACCACTTGACCCAGGAATTAAATGTCCTTCTCAGAACCTGCCTCTGTTCTGCTCTCCTCTCTTGATATATCCCAGCAAGGTCTTCCTCCCCCCATGATGGCAAAGGAAGCACGGGACAGCTGTAGGCTAGCTAGGAGTCCACAGCTCGGCCTTGCTCAGGGGTCCTTGGGAAGTCCCAGGGCACTTGCCACCACCCTAGAACTCTAGGTGGATTAGGGGCAGTGCCACTTTCCTCCTTGTCACGTGGGCTAATTTTGCTTTGTTTCCTGCACGGTGCCATTTCTTTTATCCCAGACCTCTCAACTTTTGCACTTAGATCTGTAGTAGAACATCTTGGTTTGGGGGTGTATGTACATGTGTAACCTTCTTCTTTGATTCTGCTGCTTCTTTTTGCTGGATTTCCCATTGAAAAGATCTTTTTTTAAATTTTTTTAAACTTAAGAAAGTTTTTTAAGTTTCTTTATTTACTTTTGAGACAGAGAGAACAAGCATGAAAGAGGGGCAGAGAGAGAGGGAGAGAATCTCTAGCAGGCTCTGCACTGTCAGCATGGAGCCCAAAGTGGGGCTCGAATTCACAGACTGTGAGATCATGACCTGAGTTGAAACCAAGAGTTGGATGCCTTACTGACTGAGCCACCCAGGCGCCCCTAATTTTTTTTCCTCATTTTTAAACTGTTTATTTATTTCTGAGAGAGAGAGAGAGTGTGTGTGAGAGCAGGTGAGTGGTAGAGAGAAAGGGAGACAGAGAATCAAAGCAGGCTGCAGGCTCTGAGCTGTCAGCATGGAACTTGATGTAGGGCTCGAACTCACAAACCATGAGATCATGACTTGAGCTGAAGTCGGACGCTTAATTGACTGAGCTACTCAGGTGCACCCATTGAAAAGTTTTAATTAAACTTCTGTGGTACCATAGGCTCTGATACATACATAGTATGCTTGCTGCTGCAAACATTTTTGTTTGTTTTTTAGATTCAAATCCAGTATATTTGCTGTATTTTTTAGGAAGTTGGTTATGAACTCTTTTGGAAGTTTTAGGTTAGAGGCAGCTGTGAAAGTCTTTGTCACTTTGAGCACAGCTGAACTCATTTATTTTCCCAATAGCTAACATTGTCTCATTTTTCAAATATGTGAAAAAAGTTTAATTTTTATGGGTCTTTTACATAAAAATGTTGAATAGAATAGTTTCACCAAAAGCAGTTTTAACAAACTTCAAATTCAGTGAAGGAATTTCCATGAAGAACAAAGCTATGTTTAGCTGTGTAAATTTCTACTGTTGGCAGTACCATTAAAATGGATGGTTCAGATTCCTGTTAAACCAGGAAGTCCCAAATGATGTTTGTGCAAGATTCTAACTATATTACTTGGATGAAAAAAGGATTCTAGGTAGATAAATTTATGAAATGCTGAATTAGACAGTATTAACTGTAAGATTGATTAGTTTTTAATATATTGTTGGACATTTTGTGTCCAGGGTAGTGTTTAAAGAAAAAAAAATTTTTAATGTTTTATTTTATTTCTTGAGAGACAGAAGGAGACAGAGCGTGAGTAGTGGGGGGGGCAGAGACAGAGGGAGGGAGGCACAGAATCCGAAGCAGGCTCCAGGCTCTGAGCTGTCAACACAGAGCCTGATGTGGAGTTCGAACCCACCAATACGAGATCATGACCTGAGCCGAAGTCATATGCTCAACCGACTGAGCCAACCACGTGCCTCAGGAATAGTATTTTTGATTGGACTGCCAACACCCCTTTTAAGAAGAGAGCAATTATTATATGGTTTTTTAACTATACTCTGTCAGGATCTTGGTCCAGTTTCTTATAAGATTGCCTAAGTGCTTTGAGATGGACATTGCTGAGTGTCATAAAGTTTGGTGGAGTTTTTTTCCCATTTTAAGAGAATTTTGAGTGGATCTTACAAAGGTTGTTGCAATATGAAAGTCATTTATTTGATAGAAATGTCAAACTATCTTGTCAAATACAACGAAGTAACCCAAAAATATACTTCAGAGATTAAAAAGAGCAAAGATTGTATGGAACCAGACAAAACCTATTTCTGCATTTCCTACTTCTCGCTCCAACTGCTTTGCTTACCAGACTGTCACTAAACATCTTGAGGAAATGCAGGGATCATTTTATTTGGAATGTTAGACACACCAGAGGTGGTGGCGGTGGCGGTGGTGGTGGTGTTTTAATGACAACTTTATTGTCCCATATGGCAGCAAACCTTGTTCTATGAAAATTCAAGGACCTGTTTTTGTACTCTTGCATGAGTAGAGACTTTTCCTACCTTGGTGTATAGGGTGGACTACAGGCAGACATACCTTTTCATAATCATGGAAAAAATTTTTTACAAGTAGCCCCTTGATCTGCTCCAGAAAGCGTCTTATTGAAGCCCCAAGTTAATCATGCAGCATGGACAGAAGAAGCAAGAGTTTAGCTTTAGAAATTAAGGGTAGAAGTTAAAAATCACTTGCTGTTATGGAAGTGTCTCTGAAGATGAGAACATTGAACTTGTATACAGTTAGTTCTCTTAAGTCTGCGGTCATCATGTATAGCCCCCTACTTAAGCCACCGCTAACTCAGTGAGTTCACTTGTTGAATGGAGTTAGAGTTAGCTATTTGGTTGTCTTAAAAACATGTGCTTGCCAGAAGCAGCTTGTTTGGTTTGGGCATATTTGATATTTTGAGCTGGCATCTGACGGTAATTAGCCACAGCATAACTTGCTTCTTGGGACTGTTTCTGGAATATGCTGGTAATATCAGCTTAAAGGGTGGTAATGGGATTTTTAATAAGTAGGAGGGGGAAGGCACATAATTCATTGAAAAGTTGCATAGATTATTTAGGTGCAAGTTAGAATAAAAGTCTATAAGACATAGCTTGGTTTTATTCCACATATGTGGAGAGATTCTACAATTTTGCAGTTTCCTGGTATATTTTTATATTGTTGCTGTTACTAAAATTGGCTTGTCATTACTGAAAACTTGTCCAAAGACTGCTAAGTGATTGATGTGTAGCTGTTCTTAAAATCGTGTATTTTTCTACTCAAACTATCATACCTTTTCTCTTCTTCCTATACAGACTTAGCTTTGGAATCAAACCCTTCTGACCATCCAAGGGCAAGCACAATTTTCCTGAGCAAATCTCAAACGGATGGTAAGACAGTATTTTTTTTCCTCTAAAAAAAAAAAGATTGAAAACTATCTTTGTTTTGTGTATTATAGAAAGCACCTAGAAGAACTCATACATTGGTTTAAGTATTTCACTTTTTCATGTATTCACTTATTATTTTAATATGTGATGATATACTTCAGTTGTCACTGATTTAGTTAGCGGGTCACGTAGACTGTTTACACATTTGCTGCCTCTTTATCGACATAGTCGATTGACTACAGGATTTAGATGTGGTCTAACTCTCCATACCTCTTTGACCTTTTCTCCTTGTTCCAAAGGGCACACATTTTAAAGATGAGTGATAGGATTTAGGCCATAGTTAGGTTTTCATTTAACAAATTAGAAAAATTTATGTATAGAGAGTAAATCTGTGATTCTGGCCCCATTTTACACAGTGCTCAACCAAACAAGCTTATGTCACATCCACAGTTATGCTACTCAGAACTTTTGAGCTATTCAAAACTTTCTCATCCTAATGTAGTGATGTGCCAGGATATGTAGGAATAGACATACCCTGTGGGGTTTCCTAGAAGGTTAGCTTCCACAAGTGAAGCTAGTATACATTGCCTGTGCCCTTGACTTAGAATGAGTCTGAACTGTAGACTTCTCAGCACTCCTGCTCTCCTCTTATTTTCCTTAATGTTATGTTAAATCCTTGTTTATTTGAACTAAAGAGCCATACATGACCAAGTTTCTCAGTTGATTATGACAGAAATAGAAGAAGTGAGGGTTCCATAATATTTGAAGTGATGCAACACAATAAATACTGGGGGTTTTTTTAACCTGAATGTTCATAGGTGTGTACTTAGCCTATCCTGAGCAGATGACTTCTGGTTAGGATTGCTGTATATCTTGGATTCATCCAGAAACATGGGTGCCCACGTGATAGAGACAGTGTGGAGACAGTAAAAGCAAAGCTATCTCATCTCTTTCTCCTCAGTAATAAGGAAGGTGTGCTGATGTCACCCCACATTAAAGGGGGGGGGGGCAGTTTGGGAAACAAAGTGTGGCCCAAGACCCTCATTGGACCTTTTTATTTTACCGCTGCCTTTTTTAGAGCAAAGTGATTTTGTATGCTGTAGATATATTCAGTTAGGTTAGCACACTCATTAAAATATAAATTTAATATAGATTACTTCCCAGTTGTGTAATGACCCATTTATTTTTTTAGTAAGGTATATTAGTAGATTACCAGTAAGTGCTTCAGGATGCTTCCAGGATATTGATGGGTCTAGAGATTAGAGCCTGGCTAGAGACTGGTTCTTAGAGCTGTCAGATCCTGGTAATTAAAGTTAGTTACATATAAATATAGAATGGGAAAACACCACTGTGTAGTGGTTCAGATATGGAAGAGATAAACATTTTTATTAGCTAAATTTTCTACCTGGTGTAGTTTGCTTTCTCCTTTTTTTTTTTGTACATGGGGAGCCTTTCATTTGTACCTAACAGAGAATGTCTGTTAAGTCAGAAAGTAAAACTAAGTCTTTCAGTTTTACTTTATAGGATTCATCTTTCTAGGTGATTTAAATTATGAATTTTGTTGGAAATTATATTTTAAAAATGGAATTCTATCTCGTTTTGTATGTTGGTAATCCATCAGGTAATTAGCAGCTACTTTTAACTTTTCTGTGACATTTGTATCAGAATTGATCAGTTAATCTTTTTTATTCTTAGTGCGAGAAAAGAGGAAGAGCAACCATTTAAACCATGTAAGTAAACAGTTGAAAAGTTAAAAAAAAAAAAATGAAAAGTGTGTCTGCTATTGTTCCTAAAAATATGTAATGGATCCAGAACTGTTAGTGTGGACCTCTTTTTGTAGATTTTCTAAATCTCTTCTATTTTCCTCATTATGAGATGTATTCAGGAAAGTCTTCGGCTTAGTAGGACTTATTTCTTAAGGGTTCTGACATTTGACTTAAGTTTTAATAACATGATTGTGGTATAAAGTTCCACGGTCAGTTTGTTTGCCTTAATTTTTTAATATTATTTTTTAACCAAAGTAACAAAAATACACTAAGTTAATTTGTAGCACTCTTACCGACTTCCTGTCCTGCCAGGGGAAAGCTTAGCTCCCTCACTCACCTTGGCCTTACCTCCCTCCCTCTGTCCCCTCAGCCTGTATCATGGTTCTTATTAAATCAGCATCGGTGTTCTGTTATGACTATGCAGATACTCACTGCTGAGCCATCTAGTTCTCTGCCTGTGCCTTCTCCTGTATACGCTTAATTCTTTCTCTTAAACATTTCTGAAACCCGAGCACTGCGGCACTTCTCCAGGGTAATCCAGGCCCCATTTTCCTAGCCAGCATGATCTCACTCAGCCAAATGCTGTACTTAGCTTCCTGGCGGGACTTCCTACTTTCACATCCCCCCTCCCCCTTTTTTTGTGGAATTGATATTCACTTGCCTATTTTCTAACAGCTATTTCCCCCTCCCCCAAATGCTGTAACATTTGTCACATGTCTATCAAAAATTTTTTTCGTTTACTAAAACACATCTGCTCGATTTTTTTTCTTGGAGACAGCCTTTTGTCATTCTACTCCAATAGAGTAGACGTTTCTGCTACGCCAGCTCTGTGTCTGTTTTCCTAGGATATCTCCTTAAAGTCATCTGGGAGCTCACATAACTGCTGTCATGTGTTGGATCCCCTATGTCCTAGATTCTCTGTTTCCTTTTGTCTTGCTATATGCCCTTGTTTTACTGGAGTGCATTTTTCCAGGAATGGGCAGAAATTTTTAGAGACCTAGCCTCTCTCAAACTCCTGCTGTTTGAGAAAGTATAGAATTCTAGGTTGAAACTAATTTTTGCAGTTCTACAGACATTTCTCTGTTGTCTTCTCATTTACAGTGTTGCTCATAAATCTCTTGACATTGTATGATACATTGCACATTATTGATTTTTTCAATCATTGTTTCCTCATCCCTTCTTTCTCTGGAATGTTTTAGTGCCTTCCCTGCCCCTAGAATTCTGAAATTTCATAATATGGTTTAGTATGGACCTTTTCATTTTACTGGAGCCAGTAAGTCTGCAGATCATTCCTCCTCCTAGTGAGTTCATTCATTCCTTCGTTTATTCATTCGTTCATTCTGTTCTGGTATTTTCTGTTATTCAGATGTTGGACCTCTTAGACCAGTATTGCTGCATGGATCTCTAATCTTTTCCCCTTCTAATTTCCATTTTGTCTTTTTGTTCTACTTCCTAGAGATTTTCTTGACTTTATGCTCTGAGCCTTCTCTCCAGTACTTAGTTTTGTCTTATTTCTAATTTATGAAGGTCTCTTCTAGCATTTTTTACAGCATTTTAATTTTCACCATGCAATTTCTTGTCTTTCTGAGGGCCTTTAAGAATTTTTTAAGTTTCCATTTGCTTCTTAATTTTATCATTCCTACCAATTGCTTTTTCCTGTTTCAGTCTCTTGTTGGAGGCTTCTCTTAAATGTATGGTGGTCCCTGCCTGTCTCAGATCTCATTGGAAGCACTTGTTACCTGATGGGCCTCACTGTGGAGATTTGGGGGCTGAGCCTCTGAATTCTGAGCCTGCCTTGGGTTCTGTAAGACAAACTGGCTTTCTTATTCCTGTCCCAGTCTCTAGGTATCCCAGTTGTGTTTTCTGTGTTCTTCCATTTCACCTGCCACCCCTTTCCCTCTGTCTAGTCTTGTCATCTTTCAAACATTGCACATCACCTGGTGGTCATCCTGTGTTGTGTATAACCTCTGAAAGGAGAGGGAGCAGAAATAGATATATGATTGTCTACCATGTGTAACTCAGAATCTGTTTTAATTTAATATAATTAATTCTATTAAATCAGGCATAATAATTTTTGGTTATCTCTATAATTAGCATATTATACTTTTCTACTAGTAACGCTTTGATTAAGAATTCAAACCATGCATCCTGTCATATTGTCCCATTAATGTGCAACATAGATAAAACCTAGTTTTTATTAATGCATAAAGTGCAGGGAATTTTTAAGTTTTATTGTGAAAAGACAAAACTTGTCCTGTGGAAAAGGGGAGACACAAAAGTGAACTTCAGCAGTAGGCACAATGGAAAAGTTAGTGGGTGGGGGCAGGATTTCAATAGGTACTTGACCTTTGATGGTAACGCTTGGGTTGTGACTTCCGAGACTTATTATCTAGTCTTTGCCATTGAACCTTAAGTCTATGAAATAACCTCTTCCTTTTGTTGTAAAGATTGTAAAAGCCCACCTATTCTGTTAGTCTTGAATAAAGATAAATCCTGTCTTTGTCTATTCTAGTGACCACGGAAATAATATCTGTGAGCACTATACCGCCAATACTGTTTTTTGCTGCCTGATTTTTTTTTAAGTATTTGCATTTTATAACTCTGTTGAGGCTGTAAGCCACCAACAGTAAACATAAAAGACAATTGTCTTAAAATTTCAGCTAATTTTAAGCTAATAAATAATTACAGCTAATATATCCAGGCTTTGCTCAGAGACTTAATTCTGCCACCCTGTAGTTGAATACCGGATATTACCGAATACTGAAGAGTAAGCCTGGACTGATGGAGAAGTGTTCAGTGTTTCTTTGGTTAGATCTAGTCAGTGGACTGTAAGTTCCTGATTCACTAACTCCCCCCCTGCCCAATATGGCTATAAGGCCACATCTAATTAAAATTTCTTGATGTTTCACACTAATATTTTCAAAGACAAACCAATATACATTTGTAATAGAAAAATATATTTTTTTAAATGTGTGTTTTTGAGAGACAGAGTGTGAGTGGGGGAGGAGCAGAGAGAGAGGCAGACATAGAATCCAAACTAGGCTCCAGGCTCTGAGCTGTCAGCACAGAGCCCGATGTGGGGCTCGAATCCACAAACCATGAGATTATGACCTGAGCCAAAGTCAGACACTTAACTGACTAAGCCACTCAGGCACCCCAGAAAAAAATTTTTAATGGAGGGAAGTGGGAGTGAATATAACCCAAAGCTCTACCAACTAGTCTATACTTTGGTGCATTTTCTTCATGTTCTTTTTATAGCTCCTCAGTGTAGGTTTGTGGTCAGAATTGACTTTTCTTATGATGTAATATACACCATATTATACCCTGGTAGTAGTGACCTAAAAACATAACTTTCTTCCATTTAGAACATTTTTTTAACGTTTATTTATTTTTGAGAGACCCAGCATGAGCAGGGAAGGGACAGAAAGAGGGAGACACAGAATCTGAAGCAGGCTCCAGGCTCTGAGCTGTCAGCATAGAGCCCACTGCGGGGTTTGAACCCACAAACTGCGAGATCATGACCTGAGCCGAAGTCAGATGCAGAATGGACTGAGCAACCCAGGCGCCCCTAGAATAAAAGTATTTAAATAAATGAATTTTCGTTTTTCATGCTGTATTTTTCAAGATTGTTAAATTAAGTATTAGCTGAATAGCTTAAGGAACGTAACAGTTTTAGATACAGTTGAACATTTCTGGTTTGGAGGAGAAGTTAGTGATACTTTTCAAAAATGTCTGGAACTTTTTATTAAGTAAATGTCTTTGCAGTAAAACATCTGAAATCAGCAAAGTGTTGTTTTTATATACCATGTGGATATTTCTGATTAGTGGCTATTGGCAGTTTTTAAATGCTCTGTAATTTAAAAAGTATCAACTAGATTTTTTTCCCTGCCCCATCTGTCATTATTTGAGGGGGACACTGGTGGGAGAGAGTGAGACCATGCAAACCCTATTTTATATTAATAGGAAGGAAGGCTCATCTGAATTAGTAAAAATCAGAAGCAAAAATAAAACCCAGCAAAACTAAGCACTAAAATTGTTGGTATTCTGTGGTATCGAATGCTACTATTTTAACTTCTCACAGTGACTAGGATTTGGTTTATTGGCCTTACTTTAAGGAAGAGATTTGTCCTATCAGAGTTTAGGCTATTTCAGTATTTGACTGCTGCTGTATACCCAGGCTCTTCACAGATAAATGGATACTTCTAAAGTGTTTTAAAGATAATTTATTGGATAGAGGGTCTCCCAAAGTTCATTGTCACCTCTCTGACACCACTTGCAGATAAATTCTGCAGATAAATTTGTGTCTGTAGTAAGATTTACCTTCCAACTGTAATTGATTTTAAATAATTTGTCAAACACTTAGGGAGCTCCTGATTTGTCCCAGATTCTGTGCTCAGCAGCTGGAGGTGGGAGGAGTAAGAGTCCTCCTTTCCCTGGAGAAGCTTACTTTCTTAGGAGGGGGACACCCTGCTGGCAGTTGGCAGCTTGTAACAAGTGGCAGATGAGATGTGTGAGTGTACAGAAAAGAAGTTTTGTGGTGTGGCTGCCGGCAGAAATATCCTTGGAGGTGAAGGGGATCAAGCTTACTGGGACATGGAGGAAGAAGAAGTCATTGTAGGCAAAGAGAGCAGCACGAGTGAGGCAGGCATTTATAGAATAGAATAGAATTAATTAAAAAGTTTTAAATAAATGGAGAGTATTCTGAGCTTCTCACTTGAGTAATGTGATGGCAATCTTATTCATACATGAAGTTAAAGTTAAATTGTCATAAGCTGTTTAAATCTGTTTTGGGATGTGAGAGAGTCTTAAAGCAATACTCTCTTACCCTCCAAATAAGGAAACTGAGGCGCAGAGAGACCTATGGCCCCCTTTGCTTGTTAGTGATAGAGCAGCCCTGGTACAAACAGCCTATGACTCCAGAACATTTGTTTCATCACACTCTCTTCTCTACTGACACATTTGTTGTTGGCTTTCATTTACTGCAATAAAATGTTCTTGCATCAATATTCTATAAGGCATTACATTTTATTGTAGTAAATGAATAGTAGAAAGTAAGTCTCAGGTGCTTTTCATTGCTTAAGAAAAACCACTGAAATTTTATTCTAAACTTTTTACATAATTATAAAAGGGATTTATAATAGGCACGTAGCAGGTTTGGTAATAGGTAATTTTATCAAGGGCAGTAGTTCATAACCCATTCCTTAAACCTCATGTGGGAAGTTAGAGTCTCCACTGGGTTTCCCAGAGAGCTGCACATGCTAGCACACTCAGGCAGCTCATGAAGTATGAGAAAAAACTTAATGCTTTATCGTTTGACATTTTAACCGAGGAAAAAACACACTTTTATAGGTTTAACTTACTGTGACATTTTCTTCTATTTCCCTTCCCCTTCAGGTATCTCCAGGGCAGCTTACTAAAAAGTATAGCTCATGCTCAACAATATTTCTAGATGACAGCACAGTCAGCCAGCCTAATCTTAGAACCACAATAAAATGGTGAGTACAACTAGGTTGCCAAGGGCTGAGTGACAGACCCCTTATGCTAAAAAAGCATCCTAGCCGTACTTGGTCATTTCAGTCACTTGATTGTCCTTTTCAGCAACCAGGTTAAGAAACTGGTGTCCCTTTTATATTGCTTTCAAGGACCTAAATATGAATATTTCAATTTCCATTTTAATCTTAGAATGCATGGTGGAAGGGAAAGCCAGTTAGCAAATAAGAAATCCCAGAAAAAGTACACCTCTTACTTGATACATTTCTGTTGCTGAGACATTGTTGAATGTGATGAAGAAGGGGAGAGGTGCTTTTTTATTGGGTATTTCTAGGAAAAAGCCTTTCTTTATGAGTTATAAACCTAAAACAATGTGTCTTACTTTGGAAGCTACTCTCGAAAGAAGGAGCAGTTTGTCCCCTACTGGCACCAGAGTGTATCTGCATTTAAGTTGAATTGGATTTCAGATTTTCCCTCATGCATTTTTTTCCCCTGCACTATTTCTGTATGAAAATTAACTTCTCATTCCTGTCTCTCAAAGAGGGGGAAAATAAATACTGAACCAATCTTAAGGAACAAATTCTCAAGCTTTATGGATGAGATTTGCTTAACTGAAAATTTTAATTTAATAGATATACTTAATTTTTAATTTTATATGTGTGTATAGATATAGAAATATATCTCCAGGCCACTATATCAGTCCATATATAAGAAGACTGCAGCAGAGAACAGAGATGGTCTTAGAAACCTAGCTGGTCAGGTTTATAGTTTAGCACACATGAACAGCATTGTGATGAAAGTATTCCTTAATTTCTAAGAGCACTGTATAATCCACAATTGGAGTTACACTTTCAGAGCACCCTAAAGATGAACCTTTCAAGCTTATTTAAGAGAGGAAAACCTAAAACAGGATGCAGCTTCCTGATTGGCCAAGGAACATTTATTAATGTCTCTTTGAGACTGGAGTGTGGATTTCCCAGAACCCAGTATGCAAACACTACTTCAAAATCTTAATATTCTCATCTTTAATTTTATTTTTCAGTCTTAAAAATAATGAGCTGTTTTACTTAATTTTTTTTCTAACATGCCAAACTTTTTCAGCTACTTAAATTATCAGTAACTTCCATTTTAATGAAAAACAGCAGGTTCACAATCATAATAATGTGACTTTCCTCTCTCCCTCGTAAATAACAGTAGTTGAGATCAAATTGTGTTTCAGAAAAAACTGAGCCCCAAAAGTCTAAAGTCCTGAGCTTTGGTCCCTAACAAGTGATCACTGAATGTTTTTATCCAGCCAAGACACTAAATCCATGTGTAAAAGAACACTTTACTTTGGCTACAGTCCCCAGCTTTTGAGTTCAAAAGATTCTGATGTTTAGTATATAATTTAAAAGTCGTTCTAAAGATTAACCTTGCTCAGACAAGTAGGTTTCGTGCTTGTTTCTCCCAACTTAGTCTAATTTGTGGAAGTGCATTAAGTTTAATTTGCTCTAAGTTTTAAAAATATTAATTCAGTACATTCATTATTGGGGAAATAAAGGTTTACTGGGAAAATTAATAGGGCAAATTGGCTTTTAGGAATGATTTTGAAAAATGTTTATGTTGGGGTAGTACATTGTTCTCAGTGCGGGGGGCTATTAGAATCAGGCCACTTTTTTCAGGACCTGTGTTTCCAAATACATGCATTTCCCCCTCCCCCACAGCACTCTCACAAGCCTTTTGATAGGCTGAGGAAGGATAGGGCGCATAATTATATGGACAAAAAGCATCCTAGATGAATCATTCATTCCCAGATTTTGTTGCACATTGCAGTCACCTGGGGACCTTTAAAAGCCCTTCTGATGCCCAGGTCCTACCCAGTGCCAGTTACATTGCCCAGCAATGCCCCAAGCTCCTCCGGGGATCCCAGTGAGCAGAAAGCTCGGGGAACCCCTGCCTGGTTAGAGTGTAGGGGAATGGGAACAGCTTCCAACCATCTGTGGGGCTTTGGGCAAGTCAGTTTTAAACCTTGGTTCCTTATTGGTAAAATGGGTTGTTTAATTAAATGCTACATGGGTTTAGTGGTGCTTTTCATCATAGAACTTTGAATTCTGTGATCTTAAAATCAAATTGAAGTTGAAACTGTTTGAAGCACTATAGAAGTATCCATCTTTGATGCTAATAACATAGGCCTTTTTACAAGTGCTCATATTCTACAGACCTAGTTAAAATTCAGATTTGCCTTCCCTCAATTGTTTTGAGCTTCATTTTAGATACTTTGGGGGCAAAGGGAAGCATGTAACTTAACCGAGAGAATCCCTTTGTTGCCAAATACAAAACATCTGTGAATAACTTAGGACTATAGTGACTTAGAGAGTGTCTGAGGGACTTATACCTATCTGTTCATTAATGTTTTAGTCAAACTAATTTGGAAATACTTGTCATCAAGTATTATACTGTGTAGTATGATGCTGCATTGTTAACACCGCTTATTTCGGGGTAGCTAGACCTATCATTGATTTGTGGGTATTTCTATTTGCCATTACATTTTCTAATTATGCAAAAGTGATTTTAAATGACTTTATCTGGTGTAGAACACTTTAATTTACTCCTAGGGAAATAATGGAAAATGTGTGGGTTGGTGGATAGCGAACTAAATCAATTAAAATGCAGGGTCTAACCTTTTTTTTTTTTTAAATACAAAAATTACCATGTGGTTTATATTTAAGCATGTGTACAAATGATAAAACTTGTACAGGAGGAAAGAGTCTGTGGGTAGAAGGACAAATGACAGGGAAAATATGTAATAAATGTATAATTTGCAATTAACAACCAAAACTTGTCTTCTGACAAGTTTATTTTATTTAGCAGTTTGGTCCTCCTATTTTTGCCAAAGCCAACGAGCTTAAAACAAAGGGGAAAGTGCCCATATAAACTATTCTGAATTAGAGGATTTCAGGGCCACTAGGCCCCTGGGAAGATCTTCTCTCCCCAAACTCCTTTTTAAAAATGTCTTCATGCCTAACATGATAAAATTTAATTGTTAAAATTTTCTTTTTCCCTCCACAGTGTGACCTTAGCAATATATTACCACATAAAGAACAGGTGAGCTCTTTTAAAACCTGTCTTGTTATTCCAGCCAAGATATCAAGTTTAGGGTTGGGTAACAGCTATAGATATCATTAGAGTAAGCTTATAGAGTACTTTTATTACAATATTGAAGACCCAAAGAGTATTTGTTCCTCTGGGTTATATTAATATTTACTGTATTAGGACTCAAATTTGAGAATTTAAAAATTAAATCCACTCTATGTTAAAAACATGGTTTTATGACACCATTGGACTTTTGAGCTAGATACTTCTTTGTTTGGGGGGATAGTCCTGCACATTATAGGATGTTCAGCAGTATACCTGGCCTCAGCTCACTAGATGCCAGGAGCACCCTCTCCCTGTCTCCACACATGGCCAAATGTCCCCTGGGGAACAAAATCATCCCTGATTGGGAAGCCCAGTGTTAACATAAATCATATTTTTAATTAAAAAGTAGCTGTTTTCCACAACAAAAGAGTGAAAAGTATGTCATTGATTTACAGTTTTGCAAATCTCTTTACTATCTGGCTTAATAGAAGACAGCCCATTCTCATACCCTGTTTGTCTTCAGTGATTTGTTTTGAAGAGACAATATGAAGAAGACCTGGCCTCGCTCAGATACGTAGTTGGGAAAAGTGTGCTTTTAAAGCCTTCAGATAATTGTGGAGGTTCTATGATACTGTACCAGAAGCCCACAAGTGCTAGTTTCTTAATTATAACAGAATTTTAAATCATATCCGTGAACTTGTGAGTACCCATTGATCTATCTTGCACACCGAGTGGATTTTTTACCTGTAGGTGATTTTATAATACTTTGCATTGGTCGGTTGGAAAGTACTAGTTCACATTTCTCTATATAGTATCAAAAACTCACTTTGGTTAGTATCACCACCAGTCTTACCAGAAAAGTCTTTTAGGTATTGAGAAGCTATCAAGCTTACAGTAGCTGCAGCTCACCTTGAAAGGTTTCCAAAATCCTGATTTTTTAGCTTGATAACCTGAATTTTATCATTGGCAACAAATACTTTAGCTGTTTCCTTGGTGCTTCAGGTTCACTTTGTCCATTTTTTACAGAAAATCTTTAATTTTATTTTGAAATAAACTCTGTGCCCAGCATGGGGCTTGAACTCATGACCCTGTGATCCAGAGTCACTGTTCTACCAACTGAGTCAGCTGGGCACCCCTCATTTTGTTCATTTTTAAGAGAATGACTGTCAGTTGTACTTTCAAATAAAGGTGGTTCTCTATGGAAAAAGCAGCTTGTTCAGCTTACAACTAACTCTCAAATGCTTTTCCTTAACTATCTTTCAGTATGCGGAAGTGTTTCCTATTTACTTTCTGCTTATTCAGAATATTAGAAGGCTCAAAGCTTAATAACAATGTTCAGATTTCCTGCTTTACCGAAGATGTTCTTAGGTAAAGCATAATTTTTTTTTCAACTGCAAGTGGCAGTGAAGACTAGAATGACTAGGTACAGTTGGGTACCACACCTGCCTTGATTCATGCTCAGAACCCAGGAGTTTTACTCCCTTTTATTTTTTATATGATCGCTGCAAATGTCAAAAGTGTATGAGCAAGTAATGTCTTTAATATTTCTCTCAGTTCTGACTTCCCGGGTCTGAACGGGGGAAGCCTAGAGGCGCAGAGGCCACACTTGGAGAACGACTGCTTAAATGAGCACAGCGTGTTAGGGTGGTGAACTTTTAAACAAAAAGACTTAAGAGGAAGACTACATTTTTAACTCAAGCTATTTAAGAGAAATGATAAGAGTATGTAATATAGAGAACCACAGGGAGGGAAAAACGGGAAAAACATGAATTTCATAGTCACATTTATTAAAATTCTGAAGACCTTGCTGCCCACCACTAATGCTTTATGAAATGTTCCTGTGTGTTCCAGTGTGGGGTTAGAGAAGTGAAAATGTATTGGATTCAAAAGCATTGCTAGCTAGGGAAAGTCGGGGTTAAAGGACACTGGCTTGGCTGGTCCTGGTAGGAAAGATTTCACAGAACTTGATGGGTGAGCAAAAAGAGGTCAGGAAACCCTCTTAGGGCCAGAATACAGACTAATTTATAAAACTGCTGCTTTGTTGGAAGTTTAAGCTTCTTCCACTCCCCTCTCTCCTCCCAGCAGATATATTACTAAGATATTAATTCTTGAATTATTTTTTAAAATGCATATTCATATTTTATAGAGATGCAAATAGATCCTTGGATATTTTTGATGAGAGGTCACATCCACTCACAGTAAGTGTCAGTTTTATTGAAGTTGTATTTTTCTCTCATGCAGTTATGTTTATTTCATGCTGATTTCATTTGAAATTCATTGCTAGAAGAAAATTACTCCCTCCAGCTTGAAGCCAAAATCATCTTTAGTCTTCTTCCCTACCCTGTGTTGTGTCACCATGTCACAAAAGGAATGTTGTAGAAGGGATAAGCAGGAGTAAGAACGGAGTTACAGCTTTGTCTAATTAGTGGGCTGAAGTGAGTAACATACTCAAGTAACAGAAAATAGATCTTTTTAAAAGATAATTTTCAGTAACATCAAACTATATATAAGTATTTATAAATAAACCTAACAAATATGTTATGATCTCTGTGAAAACAATTAAGAAGACTATTTAAATTTGAAATCATTTAAAATAACAGCTTTAAAAGTCACTTCCTCAGGTACCCTACAGGCACAGGTGGCTGGTGACCGTGGTGTATGTCAGCGCACACGTAGAGCCTTGTGCTTGCCAGGAGCTGAGGGTGGTGTTTCAAAGGTGCCTGCAGAGCAGTGTGGCATGTGTGCACAGGCAGACTCTGCAGCCAAGAAATAGTTTGCATTTGGATAGATTTCTGAGGCAGGGGAGGGGAGTAGAAAGGAACACATATACAGATTTTCTGAGGTTGTGTCTGTATTTTTCTGTAATGAAGGGTGGTGAGTATTGAATCACTATGGTATTTTAAGATCCCCTTGTTTAGATTTAAAAGACTAAAAGACATGTCATCCAATCAAAGTTACTCTAAGGGGCATGTGGGCACAAATAAAGACTTGCTCTATTATGGGCACTTAGGTATTTTTCTTTGACAGATACTTACACTGCATTTTCTTCTTTCAGCGAGAAAAAGTTCCAGAGGAATACTTTAAGCATGATCCTGAGCACAAATTTATTTACAGATTTGTTCGTACTCTTTTCAGCGCTGCACAGCTAACAGCTGAATGTGCAATAGTGACTTTGGTAAGATATTTCTTCTTTCCTAAAGCATCTTTAGAAATTTCTGTCTTGCGCACAGGGTATGGTCCTGGTGTTCACATAAAAGTAGGTTCCTGAAATGATCATCAGAAGTTTATTAGGAGAAACCTATTAAAAGTGTCAAATACATACATTTGAGCTTAATATATTTTGAGTTTAAGAATAATCATTCTTTAAAATGTTGCCATTGCTTTTCTCATCACAAAACAATTGCTATTAAAGGCAATAGGAGAGATTTCTGGTTTCTCCCTTCATACCTCAGGACACAGATGCACACACAGCACACACACGTTCACACATAGAAGGTGTGCTGGTGGGTGTGGGCTGAGATAGGGACAGTCCACAGGCAGACACTCACTCCGTATAGTCTCAGCTGAGTCCCACATTATCTCCATGTTCCCCTCACAGTTCTGCTGTGTGTCCTGGTTGAGAACTGTGGGACGATGGGTGCTGACCCAGCCCTGGTGCCCTCTCGTGCCCGCCTGGCAGGCTGCCTAGGGTTATACTGCCGGAAGTACTTGGAAAGGCTTTGCTGGTCAGCCTCCCTGTGTAAGGGACTTTTGGGGTAGCCGTTGAGAATTCCTGTGGTAGGATTTTTGTCATTTGAAAAAATAAATCCTTTTTTTTTAAATGTCTTATTTATTTCTGAGAGAGAAAGAGAGACAGTGTGAGCAGGGGAGGGTCAGAGAGAGAGGGAGACACAGAATCTAAAGTAGCCTCTAGGCTGTGACCTAGCTGTCAGCACAGAGCCCAATGCGGGGCTCGAACCCACGAACCGTGAGATTGTGACCTGAGCCGAAGTCGGACATTTAACCAACTGAGCCACCCAGCCACTCCAGAATAAATCCTTTTTAAGAGAGAGCTGGTTGGGTTTATTTTTAATCTTCCCTACAGCAAACCTCTAGTGGAAGCTCACGTGCATGGTCCATAGGGAAAGTACTTAGGTCAGTGCCTGTATTCTTTTAGTGTCCGGTTAGAATTTAGGAGAGGAGGCTTGTGCTTTTGATTAGAGACCCCTCAGTGGGCACTCAATCAGATAGGCCTTTTCATTGAACTACAAACCATTCGGAGTGCTTAGCCCATGCCGGAGAGGCGCAGGAGTGGCACTTGCATGTGAAGAGCCAGGCGATGCCGGGAGAACATCTGGATTGGAAGAGGGACCCTATGTGTAGGTAGTTTAAGTGTGACATTCCTGGGAGACAGCAGCGTGACCTCGTCTAGTCATCATGTGAATAGATGGAATTGAGCATAAATCTGACCTGTAGAGATAGGGAATTAAGAGTAATAGAGAAAAGTATAGATTAAAAAGTGGATAGAAGCTAGATCTGGAAGGACTAACAGCATATGAGGGACAGGTCCTCAGAGGAGAGGCCAGTGTGCTAGGAAGCCCAGCAGAGAATAATAAAAGAGATGCCAAAATGAGAGGTTCAGTTCAAGGAGAGCGTGGTGCAAATGCCAACCATGGCCAAGCAGTTGCTCATCCCCTACCCACTGCACACCTGATCTGTAGAGGAGAAAACAGGTTGAATAAAGTTCTTGCCTTTTATATATATAAAATATATATAAAATTATATATATAAAATATATATAAAATTATATATATATATAATATATTCCTCACTATATTCTAGTGAGGAAGAGAGAAGTTGTTTGATTTTTCAAATCAGTGTTAACCTAAATATTTCCAGCGGTGGTAAATACCAAGAGAAAGCAAGGCACAGTGATTGGAGGGGCTTACTATAATTAGACAGAATGATCAGGAACAGCCTCTTTAAAGAGGTAGCACTTGAACCATGACCTAACTAACCTGAGGAAGATGATGAGCAAGCCTCTGAGATGGGAACACATTTTGTGTGTTCGAGGAACAAGTGGCCACTGGTCAGAGTGAGTGAGGAGTGACGGGCAGAGCACGCAAGATGAGGTCACAGAAGGGCAGTGCTGCACCCTGTTGGGCCTGATGGTTTGCAGGCATGGGAAGAAGGTAAATTGCTATTTGGTGGGAAGCCTCTGGCAGATGTTGACCCAGGGGTATGAAGTGCTCTTAATTTAAGAGGCTGTCCTGGCTGCTCTGGGGAGAATAGACTATAGTGGGAGTCAGCATGCAGGCAGAGAGGTCAGGAGGCCATGACAGTGATACAGCCGAGGAGTGACAAATAGAATGGAAATGAGTCAAATTACCAGTGAAGGTAGAGATAACAAAAATTGCCAGTGGATTGGAGCAGGATTAACTTAATGGAGGTTTTGGGCCCAACAAGTATGTGAGTGGCAGTACCTTTGAGGTTACTGGGCAAGGCTCAGGGACCAGAGAGTTGGGGTGCAGAGCTCTGCTTTGTATGTGTGAAAGCACCAGTGGCCTCCCAAGGGTAGGGGCAGGGAGGCAGACCGCCCGGGGTTAAGAAGACCATGGGAGATGAGAAGCAAGCATGGGGCATTTCCCCGTGAGCAAAACGAGAGGAAGCTTTGTGGCAGGGGTGCGGGGGACGGGGGGCAAGGGGGTGAGGATGGGGGCAGTGTAAATACATTCACATTGGGGGGAATCTCTGGCAGAGAGGGAAAAATTCTTCAAAACGAGGAAATTGTGGGATGGGATCACGGAAAGAAGAGTTCACGTCAGTGAGAAGAAACTCCCCTTCCACTGACACTGGAGAGTCGGGGGCGTGCATGAGGTTGGGCAGGTTCCAAGTTTGCCGGGAAAGGCGATCAGAAGTCAAAAGATTGCTAGTGTCTTAGACACGCCTCGAATTATTCCCATAGAGAGTTGAACCTTGTAAGTGAGGTTCATTCTTTGGACACCTGCAAGTGCCGAGTTTGGGGGCCGGGAGCAGAATTTCACTCAGAATGTAATGTTTGAGAAACATTTGTTTTCAAAAACACAGTTGAGTTTGGACGATATTGCAAATCTGAGCTGGCAATCTGACAACCTTCAGACGGTAAACGTAACTCTAAAATTGGACTTTTCTTGTCAGATGGAACCCTTCTTCTGCAGAGCACCCTTTGAAGTAAGGAATCCTAGCTTAGCTCTGCTGCTAACTCCGCCCAGATCATTGCATGGACTGGGCATTTGACACACAGTAAAAGAAATCATGAACTCATCTCACAGGCGGGTTTAGAGGAGCCCCAGGGACCTAGGACCTGGCAGTTGTGAGCCCTTTAAAACCAATAGAATTGAGTACGGCTGTAGGTTGTGGAAGACAGAATGAATTATCGTGAGGGGATGATGGAGATGGGAACACGAGGGGCTAGGAGGACTGTCCTTTGTATGCGCATATGTTCCTGTAAAAGACACTAAATGGGATTACTTGACAGTTACAAAGACTGGCCCAGGCGCACCTGTCTGTACTTCCTGTCCTGCTGCGCCACTCAGCAGCCACTGGGAGGCTCTCTTGACCACCAGTTTTTATCTCAGGCTTGTGCCACAAAAGGACTATTACTTGTGAAAAGGGGAAGGCAGAAATGTGCTCAGGATTACCAGGGTTTGACCTGTTCAAGTATTTGTAGAATCACCGTGTAACCACCAGCCAGCTACGGTACATGGCACATGGTAGGCCATCAAGTTTATCGAACAACTTGAATCTATAATCAGTTGTACCGAATCTTTCTCAATGGCTGTCTTCAGGATGCCCTTTACTGAGACATCCAGCTGTTCCGGTGACCAAAATTGGGCTGGAAATTTGCATGGGCAGAGTAGGCAACATGTATCCGACCTACAGCTGTGACCTGGCCTCTGGCTTTGGCTGGCGGAGCCAAGTCTTTGTAGAACCTAAGAATAATAGGCATGTCAAAAACAGATGAAATCTGTCATTCCTAACAGTTCTTATCACAGCACTTAAACTGAACTAAAATGAAAGACCAGTGCTCTACTTTTGCAGGTTTACTTAGAAAGGCTTTTAACTTATGCTGAGATCGACATTTGTCCCACTAACTGGAAAAGAATTGTTTTGGGAGCCATTCTTCTTGCCTCCAAGGTTTGGGACGATCAGGCTGTATGGAATGTGGACTACTGCCAGATCCTCAAGGACATTACAGTTGAGGACATGTGAGTTTGTAAGGTTTTGGTGAACTTTCTAACCATTTTTCAGTGCCTCCTTTGCTCTGGTAACGTTTACATTTTAAGAATACTTTCAAAGGTTACAGTGTGCAGAGAACTGAAATAGGCATTAAAATTCCATACTTACTGTGTGGCTATGGTATAACAATTCCTATTTCCTCATCAGTAATTGGTAGGTCTTGATGTGTTACTCTTGTAATAATCTGCTTGGTAAATTGAAGTGTATTTTTCTGGTGGTTTTTGGCATACATTTTACAGGCTTCCTATCGACACAGTACTGTACATATCTTGATGGCTCTCTTAAAGCTGCCTGCCAGTTCCAGTCCATTTTTAAGAGGTATCTGTCTGGCCTTTGAGATAAATGTTTGGCCACTGTTAAGGTCTTAGGGCCTCTAGACGATAGAGAGGTTATACCTCAACCTGAGTCAGCTTTTGCTGGTCTTTCCTTTTTATCTGCAGAAGCCACGGTGCAAAAGTAGCCACATGCATGGAGGTTTCAGATCCCCTGCTTCTGCCTCCTCCCCTCCTAGGTGTCTTGCTCCTGTTTAAAAATAGGTCTGAGGAGTCAGGGAGCTCCTGCTTCTCCGGCAGTCCCCAAAAGCATATCTGGGCCGTCACCCACTGCCCATCCCAGTCAGGAGTCTCCCGGGCGCTCAGCAACCACAGTAGCGCATCGTGGAGCCTTCAGTTAATCCCAAGGGTGCTCCTCACAGATGGCAGGTGGCATGGGAGTGAAATGCCAGACTTAACACGGGCTCTCGATTTGGCCACCCGGGCTTTTGTGAAGGGCCCTGAGGATGGTAGGCAGGACAAGCCAGAGAGGCATTTTCAGTAGACTCTCAGAGTGCCCGCCTGAGAGTGAAAATGTGTCTGTGGGTGGCATTGGGGAAAATGTGGAAGAACATACCTTGATTATACGGAGCAGCATAGGAAGATTAAGATCTCGGCAGGCAGTGGCAAGTTTGTTTTTGTTACCTTTGCCCGTTGTTCTAGATAAGATGGTCATTCAGAATTACCAAAGTGCATATTTACAACTGAAGTGAGGATACTTCTGACTGGAAGGGACCAGTCGTCCGTAGCAGTCAGAATGGCCGCGAGAACAGTGTGAACCGAGTGGGCGTGGAGGTACTGCTCTCGGCCCTGGTAGCCAATGGTGTCATGAATTCGAAATGGATAAAAGTAATTTTGAAAGTTGTAGAAGCTAAAGTGTCACTGTCCTCAAGCTCTGGTCCCTTAAAGGAAGAAAAACGTGGAATCCTGAGCACTAGCCCTGCCCTGGTGGCACCCGAGAGACTGCGTTGAAGCTGGCTGGGCCTCAGAGTCTAGTGAAAACATCAGAACCTGCTGGGAAGTGTGTGGGAGCTCGAAAGAGCGAGTTCCAGGAGCAGTGGCGGCAGTGTCCAGCTACAGGAAGACTGGTTGTAAACAGCAAGTTTTTCTTATATGATCAGAGAAGCACCAGGAGCTGTGTTTACAATAGGCTATTTTGTTTACAATCTTTGGAAATTGGAAAGTATTACAACAGAGTGGTTCATATGCATTTGTTTTGTCCCCTGCTGTTGACTTCAGTGTGTAATGGTCTCATTTTGAGTCTAAATTGAAAAATCGGTGTCTATCTACTTTTTCTTCAAACTTTCTAATGTCTGTGCTCCAGAATATATTCCCCTTCAAAAGAGTAAGTTAAACTGAGCAGCTGCTCTTCAGAAATTTGCTGTGCCTGTAAATGGTGTGCTATTCAGCCAGCTAGCTATTTAAAAAACAAAAACCCAGAAGATGCATATTCTATAGGCATAATGCTTTTCTTCAGTGATTAAACCTTTATTAATAGACATGTTAATCCTATGAAGTACTGTATTTCTACACAATTAAAATGTATTATTGGAGAAAATATAAAAGGGATAGTGAAGTGCATTTATTCCTGTAGTAAATTAAGTCCTGATTAGCTCATTATCAAAACATCTGATTTACATTTCTATAGACTTGCAGCCATATGAACAGGAAATTAAGTTTGGAAGTAGGTTCAATTGGGTTTAAAATTCAACAAATGAGAACCTCATCTCTGCTCATATTCCTAATGTTCTCCATACAGGAGATCATCAGGCATTTGTTGATCTGTCCAATGGATAAAATATTAAAACTGAGAAACCAAATAGGTTATAAAATAAGCCTCTTGCGTTCATTCAGGTATTTATCACTTCTACCTATTTCTCTAAAAGGATTTCTGTGAATGTGGTATTTTTATTAAATATTTGGCAAGGGACCTGAAAGGTCGCGTGTAGCAAAGGATGCTGCCAGTACTTTCCTTTCCTGTTTTATTGAACTCGCCCTCTGCGGGTGTGTCCACGTTCTGTTCTGACAGGGGTGGTGACGCATCTTGGGGTTGCATTCCCAACACGGGAGTTGCTCTTGGAACCCAGTGCTCTGTCAGAGGTCCTGTCATACAGTGATTGTCTAGTCATGACACCTCTTTGATCGTTCTGCCTTCCAAAGTTTAAAAAGTGCATCTTGTCCTGTCACAGTGACAGTCCCTTGCCCTAGTAAGATGAAGGTGAACAGAAACTTGCATTTATGAATGCCCTTTGACATAGCCCCGTGCACAGGGGGAGGGGAATTCCCTTTCCCATCGAATGTAGCTTATTTATTTATTTATTTATTTATTTGAGATGAATCCTTGTTGCTTCAAGAGTTTTTCCCCCTCAGAGATAATAGCAGTGGCTCTCGATGGATCCATTTGTTGCCGTGGTGATGTGCCCACTCCTTTTGTTGGCGCGCCTCTACTTCAATAAGCCCCTTCCTGTTATCGGCCCGGTGAAAATGTCTGCAAGTTCTTCAGAGCTAATAAACAGCACACATCACTCCTTTCATCTGATCACTATAGCGGGGCCTTGGGAGTGAGCGTGGAGCATGAATCGTACAGCTGCACTAATGGAACTCTGAAGAATGAGCGCCTGAATCAGCAGCAGGAGTGCAGAAGAGGGCCGTAACCTCTTCCCCTTGTCCCAAACTCAGAGTGCTGGGATGCAGAAAGGGCCACAAATAGCTGTACCTTGTTTGAACATTAGTGTGTTAATCCAGCTGGGTAGCCTTTATTTGTTTCAAAACAGAATTTAGAGCTCTCCTAGTAGCTCAGAATGATACTTTTGAAGATAGCCCAGTTGGCTAAAATTGTCCTGTGTTGGTTTTGTCTCCTCCCCCAGGAATGAGATGGAAAGGCATTTTTTGGAGCTACTTCAGTTTAATATTAATGTCCCCGCCAGTGTTTATGCCAAATACTACTTTGACCTTCGCTCCTTAGCAGATGACAACAACTTGAATTTTCTATTTGCTCCTCTTAGCAAAGAAAGAGCACAGAACCTAGAGGTAAGGCTGTGAAATCATGAGGGTTTTCTGCCAGCCACCGAAACCGGCATCTGTGGCTAGATCTCATTTGGCAGTGATTAGCAAAATGGAAGGCTTTTAAATTAACGCATCGAAGAACTTATTAACCCTTTGGCAGCATATTTCCTGTTTTTTCTGATTTATGTAAGGATCTCATGTTTTTTTTTTTAAGTATATAGGTGCCTCTTCTGTGACCATAATTCAGAATATTTTAAATCAAATTTAACCCGTTCTTAATGAATTTCCATTTGAACCTCTACCCTTCCATATAACCATTTGTGAATAATTTGTGACTGTATCCCTAGTCATATCTACATACATAATCAACTCACTACTCTTAACTTTTACTCAGTTTGCAAATTCATGTTGGTGTTTAATAGATATAAACTGTGCCATAGATAGCACTGTTCAATCCCATGAGTTTATTAAACAAAACACCCGAGAGACCTGTACTTAGACTCTATAATGTATGTTTCAAATACTGGTGTAGAGAGTACAACGGGCTTTTAATGGAAATTGTAATATACATGAGACAAAGTAATATTTATGGTTTATGACTTTTGGTGAGTGTATAGCAGAAGTATTCACAACTGAAATTTCAAACACATTTACAATGGACACTTTGTGGTACCTTGGTGGGGGGTGTGTTAGAATTGGGTATTTCCTACCGTGGTTGACGTGCGAGTGCGACAGCCCTTTTTGGCACTCCAGTCATTAGACTTCCTACCTTCCAGTACAGTCCAGCACATGCCTGCCCTGGGAAATTTGCTGAGAGCGTGTAATAATCACCGCAGACTAGAAAGACGTTGAATAGCTGAGTGAATGCTCATTTTTACTCAGATACACGTTCATTATGTTGAAGGAGCAAGTGTACAGGTCCCAGGTGGTGGTGCGGTTAGGAGCCTGTCACCTTTGGAACCCACTTTTTAAACAGACTCTTCTTTGCCCTGGTGATCTAATCATAGTCTCTTAAGGATGTTACCTTAGTGAACTGGCAGGAAGCAGTGTCCCCGGAATTTTGGAGCACAAACCCCAGCTGTCCAAAGTAGCAATAACTATGAAGGAGAGAATCTGAAGGAGTGTGACTGTGTGGCTTATCAGTGATGCTTTTTTTTCCTTTTTTTTGGTTGGAACCCCCTGCCTCTTTTTAAAAAATTGTTCTTGTGTTCTCTTTGACTTTCCAGGCCATTTCCAGATTGTGTGAAGACAAATACAAAGACTTGTGCAAAGTTGCTATGAGAAGGTCCTTTAGCGCTGATAACTTCATTGCTGTTCGGCGCTCTAATGCCATCCTCTCTTAAGGGAGAAGGGAGGGGTTGTAACATCACGAACCCCTCATCTACGAGGACCAGAGAGATACCACCTCTCCTGTCTCAAAAACCAGCAAAGTTAGTATTTTCATCTAAAAGTCAAGAGACTCGTGGACCGCAAGGATCATGCTCCTAGGAAAGAATGGGACTTGTCAATGCAACACGCTCTTTTGTCCTTTTTAATGTAAACAGAGTTACAAAAACCACTCCAGAGCAAAAGCTCCAACCCATACACAGATATTTGCGTACTATGTAGGCTTATAGCTGTGAGCGAAGTGAGGGGTTTTAAATTGTTTAAATTTTTAGACTTTAAAGACACTAACTATATAACTCTTAATGTTTTTTTATTTTTCTTTCCCCTCCCCCATATTGCTGCATATTTCTTTAGAATCAGTGCAGTATTACCATTAAAACATGGGACTCCTAACAACTCCTAAAGCCACTTAGGAACAGACTGTAGCATTGTGAGGTATCGCAGGGTTCTTCCTCCCCTACTTTACCATTGAAGCTGCTAGTCATTATTGGCAATCAGTTTAAACCAAAAAGCTGCTGAGTAACACTTCTCATTCAAATTTTTTGCAAGCACTACTTATTAGCATATTAGTACGTTTGGGATCATAAACAAGAGAAAGTACGCTATCGATTGTCTACTTCTGTTGGGTCCACGCTGCATTTCTTGTGAACTGTAATGGTGCTTCTCATTTTCTGATGATTTTCCTCTTTGTTAACTACATGTTTTAAAAGATAGTTTCGTAATTCCAACCAACATGGTGGTCCAGGGGTAACAAGCAGGTAATGAAATAGAAGGTGTCCTGAAGGTCTTGGTGCAACTTTAAGCTTCAGTATGGTGTGCTTGGGGCCCCGCCGAAGTATAAATGCCACACAGTTAGAAAGTACCAATTGAAAGTTTAATTGCATTTCTTGTAAACTTACCTAGTTTTGTAAATTTTAAATATTAAGCTTTTAATTTTTTGTTTAGTCTCCTCTTGAAGATGGCGAACATTGGCTGAAATGTTTTGTTAAGCCTGTAGCGTTTATACTTCACAAGTATCAACCCTTAAAGTGCCCTAAGACTTTAGGGCTACCTTGTATCCTCACAGACATGCCCTCCCCTTTGAAAGCAGTCCTTTGCAGGGCTGTGCTGTTTACCTGCTTTGATCACCTGAGTTTCTTTTTTCTCGATTTGGTAAAGATTATGAAGAGCAGTGGTAATTCACATGTAATAAACTCAAAGGAACTGGACTCTAATAGTAGTGATACGAAAGTAGGGAGAGGAAACCGCTTTTCTACCCTACATGTTAACCTGGCTGGAGAGGTCTCGTTTCAAGTCCTGCTATGTTAACCCTCACCTCAGCCTTTAAAGGGCAGGGAGTTAAGAAATCAGTCTTCTAGGACATTGGTAATGATGTCACCTAAACTTGAAACGTTTAAAAAAAAAAAAAAAAAAAAGATTTGTGTTCTTAACCACGTGAAATCTTTCTCCTACCTTCTCAAATGCAATCCTAGGAATGTTGCCTGTAAACCCAGCATTTCTGGGCCAGGAATACTTTCTCTAAGTACAGCAAGGCTTCATGCTCTATGGAGTGCTGCAGGCTCCATCATTTTTAAAGGACAGAGACATAAATGATAAATAACAGTATATAAAATACTACAATCTACCACCTCAGAAAACGTCGTTTTATGGAGTTCGGAGCTTGGAAATTCAAGTATTGATCGCAGTCTTATTTTGAATGCTACAACTTATGTGGTTTTTCTTCCTCATGTTTATATTAAAAGAAAAGCTAATAAACTCTATTTTAATTAAAATATGGCTAGTGTGTTTGTAACATTTCTCTCAGTTCACATAGCATTCTGATTGAAATGCTTTCAGTCAGCTCTAATAGTGGGGACTTAAAGCATTTTCAGACTGACCACTTCATGATGCTTCTAGTTACAGTGTAGTCGTGGAGTTCTTTGGCTTCTGTTCTTTGGGACCTGAAGATAATTTGGGTCTCTTAAAATCACTGGCCAGTGTACTCGGGCACAGTGCATTAGATGGCGTCATTATTGTGCCAGGAGGGGAAAAAGCACACTGGGAGATTAGGTAAAACATAGCAGAGAGAAAGGAATTACAGGAATACTGTAGAATCAGAATGTGAGTTATATGAGGATTTTAAGCAGTTTTTAAAACCTAGGAAAGGGGAGCCGTTTCGTGGCTCAATTGGTTAAGTGTCCTACTCTTGGTTTCAGCTCAGGTCACGATCTCACGGTTCATGAGATTGAGCCCCATGGCAGGCTCTGTACTATCAGCAGAATCTTGGGATTCCCTCTCCCCCCCTCTCTGCCCCTCCTCCGCTCACGTGCTCTTTCTCTCAAAATTAATAAAAACCTAAAACAGGAAAGAAAATGGAAGCACAGGAACGTTGCTGTAAAAAGAGAGAGAAGCAACCCACATATTTTGACTTTAATATGCTGTTTTCAAACTTAACATCTCTGTGAGAAATATGCCAAATCTCCATAAGGCGTCTTTAAAACTAAGACCCTGACCATTGGAGCGATGCTCAGTAAACTGAGAGTCCGGCCACATTCTCCTCCACCTTCATTCATTACCTAAGGTCACATCTTCAGGTAACCACTTTGTTCCCGAGAAACTGCTGGTGAGGATAAATGAGCGGATTTCATTCAGAAGGGAAATCTGTCACAAAACACTGGAAGACTGTTCCCTTTACTATGCCGGCTACTAAGCAGAGCTGCTGATGCGGGTCAAATGTTAAAGTCTGGGGAGAGGAACACTGTACAAGACTGCAGCCTCAAGAGCAAGCTGGTAGTAGAATCATCGCTCTTTCCCCTTTGGCTTTATTTCTAGATGGCAGTACAGCCATTGTGATGAAGGAGCATTCAAGTCAACTTAAATATCACTGAAGCTAGTAGGTTCTCTGACAAATGTTACAGGGTATGGAAACTAGTTGCTAATGGGGTAGTAACTATGGCAGTTTTCTCAGCGTTTCACAGCTAGCAAGGGTTATGTCGAACTCCCTCAACCCATTATCTTCAGTTTTAGTTTTTTTCCTACTGGAATAGTGACCTCAGTGAAATTTTAACTCTGATATATTGTGAACTGAGCTTTTAGGTATTCTTTCCTTTACCAGGAAAAGACAGAGGTCTGAAATCTGTTTGAACCAAATGAGATTGCCATCCCTGGAGGTAAAAAATGGTTGCCTATCAGCAGTTTCAAATGGTTCATTCTACGATTCTTAGCGCCCAATGCTTCTGGTTAAAGAGAAACTTTCTCCCTGCTGTATCAGATTCCATCACGACCTTTTCTTTGACATTTACTCTGAATGTACCCCGTATGCTCATACACGTTACTGAAATCTAACACCACTTAATCTTGGTTTTATAACTTTGAGTTTCATTTCTTGGTTTAGTTTTCCTATATGTATAAATACACTACTACTTGATTTCAAGGAAAAAAATGCTGAAGCCAGTATTTACGGGAAAATAATTCCCCCTGTATTCAGGTTATACACTGTCTTGTGGAGAAGTTTAGCTGGAGAAGTTTAGCTAGAGCATAGAAGTTGGCCTTTCATCATGAGACTTCTCTCTGTTCCCATGTAAAAGGACGATGACTGTTCCTCAACCAGAACCTGCATCCCGGAGTGCGGAGCTACGTGGAAAAGCACTTGGCAGCCCACAGCCTCTCCCAGGCAAGCGCTGGCTCTATGCAGAATCTAGATTACACGTAGCATCTATCAGCTTAAGGATTAAATTGCCTAAAGTCTTAGCCACGTACTGACCCGGTTGGCCAGACACCGTGCCGGCAAGAGAGCAGACCTGGGAGCCCTTCGGCAAAGCCTGTTCCTGAAATACACAGGTGCAATAGGTTTCGTTTCTGAGGCAATTTCCACTATCCTATTTTTAATGGCTTTGGCAAACGAGAGAACATGTACTTAACGTGATAACAAATTTTAAGACCTGTTTGTGGTTTAGCATTTCTAGGATGCACAAAGAACTAAGTGAAATAGTACAGAAATGAAGAGGACTCTCAAATCAAATGGAAAAAAAAAGGTTAACGTTCTTTTAAGAAGGAACAGGTAGGTGGTGGTGCTGGGAACTGCTGGGGAGGGGATGAAGTCATCTGAGAGGGCTGGACAAATTCAGTGATTGCCTCAGAACCCAAAGTCCTCAGGAAGGTAACTACAGCGTCTACTTCAAGACCTTAAGTTATTCTGCTAGGTTTTTCTTAAAACAGCTGTTCCTTCGTCATCTTACCCTTCTCAATTCTACTAACCTTCTCTTCTAGCACTCAGATGGGGGGCCCTCATCTCCTCTGGGAGAGGAGAGTCTTCCAAGGCAGAGTTGCCGCGTGTCCACCTCCCATGCTGGTTGGGGTCCTCCCTCAACAAGATCATCTCCCCCTTCAACCTCTGCCAGCGTCCAGGGTGGCAGTGCGTGATGTTGGTTACTACTGTGACCTACTTCCAAAGCATTTCCGTCAGGTTCCAGAAAATACAGGGCAATGGGGCTCCCAGGCAAACCGGCCCCTTGTAATTCCCTATAGCCACCTACTTGAGCCCTCCCTGGGTTCCCCAAAGCCACTCCCACACACTGCCTCTCTTGACTCCTGACCTGCAGACAACCCAAGACGGATCTCCTCACTCCAGGCAGCATCCTCACCTTCTGGCTCCAAAACTCACTCCAACTGGCGTGAGCAACAGACCGCTCTCATCTCATGGAGAGGATTCCATTCCAACTTTTTTAACACCAGCCTTCTACATCCACCCCTTCACCAGCTTATGCCCTTGTTTGTCAGAACTGCTTCATCTTCCCAGTGTGAGGAGGCGGCAGCTGCTCGGCCCTTTACTTGTCCTATTATTTCTCAAGACACGTGCCCAGACCACCTACCTCTCTCATCAGCTGAGAGTGCCTATGAAAAACGAAGCTTCTCTAAATGCGGTGTGGAATCCTGTACTGGATCCTGGAATAGATAAAGAACATTAGTGGAAAACCCGGTGAGATCCAAATGAAGTCTGGAGTTAATAGTAACGTGCCAGTGTTGACTTCTTCGTTCTGACAGTGACCTACGATGATATGTTACCATAAGGGCAAAATGGGTAAGGAGTATACAGGAACTGGATTATCTTTGCAAATTTTCTGTATACCTAAAATAAGTCCAAAATAAAGTTTACTTTAAAAAAAAGAAAAGCAGCATTCTGATCCCCAGACCTACTGAATCTCAATTCCCTGAGCGTAAGCCTGGGAATCTATATTTTTAGTAGGAACCCCAAAAGATTCTATCCATTCCTTTTCCATTTCATCCCTCAACCGTTGCTTCTTCCTTGCCTTACCTTGACCTGATCTAATCCTTTAGATCCTTTCAGCCCTAAGGTCAGTTCTATTCTCCCTTTCACAGAGGAGAAGGGTGAAATACTCAGGGATGAATATGTCCAGGGTCACACAACCCATAAATGGAGGAGCTGGAGCTTGAATCCCTCACTGCCTAGCTGCCAAGTCTTTAAGCGTCTCCATCCTACTGCCTCTCACTCCCATTTCCATTGGTGACAAACTAAAAAGCTCTAAATCACTAAAAGAATTATTATCGGGGCGCCTGGGTGGCTCAGTCAGTTAAGTGCCAGACTTCAGCTCAGGTTATCTCGTGGTCTGCAAGTTTGAGCCCCACATCAGACTCTGTGCTGACAGTTCGGAGCCTGGAGCCTGCTTCAGATTCTGTGTCTCCCTCCCTCTCTGCCCCTCCCCCACTCGTGCGCACACGCGCGTGCTCCCTCGCTCTCTTTCTCAAAAATAAGCATTAAAATTTTTTTTAAGATTACCAATAATACTCTGGACCCACCTATTTCTCCAACCTGCTAAGTCCCTACAGTCCCTTTGTTCCATCCCTTATCCCCTTTTCCACTGGGGGGGGGTGTGGGGGGACACAAGCAATGAGAAACCCTTGGGAAGACATGCCAATGCCAGAGTCCTGTACGTGGTCGGTACAGTTGTCCTTCCATCAGGATTCAGCTCAGCAACTGGGTTTTCCATTCTGCTTCTCCCAAATGTCCTACTTCTATACGAATGTGATAAATGTTCACAGCACTCGCTCTGGCATTAAATTACATACTCTCATACTGCTAATCACCCCTTATTGGATTTGTCTTACCTTCCTCAAACAAAATTTTAACATCCTAATTACCCATCTTCTCCTACATACTTGCACCTCAGAGCGTTGCTGGAGAACACGGACATACCAGGCATTAGCGGGAGATGGTGGTTTGTAGCCTGGTGGCTACTGTGCATGTTGGCAAAGTGGGCAGCCTGGAGCAGGTACTCTGACAATAGTGTCTCAGGTTTACTAAGCATCCGTCCGGATTATCAGGGAGGTGCCAACTCTAAATCAATTTCTAGCCTCTTCTCTGGGTTCCCTGACTTGTATTTAGGGCTTGATACCAAGTTGTGGATCTAACTGCTGTGGATAACTGCTGAATGATACCCCACCCCACCCCAACCAGACACACAACAGGATCACCTCTATTCGAGGAGGTTCAGTACCGAGTACAGATGGAGGGTTGATAAAAGAGAAAATGATCTCAAGCAATGTCGCTGGTCTTATGTGCATTTGCCTTCATTTCTTCAAGTGATTCATGACACAATCACAGATCGGCAGGAGAAACCTATGAAGTATATTCAAGTAAAACATGTTTTCATTAGTTTTGCTGCTGGTGACTAGAATTGGGAATTGGCTTGATTTTTCATATTAATAAAGGCATTGCCTCTTGAAGTACATCTGAGAAATCTGATTTTGAAGTTAGAATCCACATAGCTCCTCAGGCAGTCTTAGCAATGTGTGTCTCCATAAAAGCATGAGGAGAAAAAGACTTGTACAGCATCTTTTTTTATTTTCTTTACCATTGCTTTAATGCACTTTCAAATTTATCTACATTAATTGGGAACAAAGAAACAAAAATAGACATTTCTTTGTTTTTCATAAATAACTACTCTCCATTTTTGATAAAAATTTCAAACCATTATTTTACCTTCCCACAAATATAATACATACAAAATCTTTTCGGAAATAATAAGGGCAGCAAATTAGGTATCTTCAGACTAACATAACCACATACAACCGCTGTTCTAGGGACTTCCAGGAACAAAAACAAACCAAAAAGGACTTATCAAGATGCTCTGGGTTTCCTTTTGTTAATGTTATGTTGTCAAAATTGTAATCCTCTGCCAATAATAATTTATAGATTCAAGTTGATTGTCTACAAATAAAACATCGCTGGCTCTCATCTGTGAGTTCTGGATTGGACATGACGGTGAGGATGCTGCAGTGACAGGCACTATACACGTGTGAAAACCAAAAAAGTACTGAATGCCCTGGACTCCAACTACTGACTCGGTATGTGCCTCATTTGGCTCAGTAATAAATTCACCTGCACCAAACCCGTATCAAAGTCACTAAATCTCTCATATATATAATATATATTATATGTATATACACACCCACAACACATACATACTATACACACAGTTTGTAACAACATGAATATTGTCTCACAATGATGTACCAGACGTTATCCTGGCTGAAATGAATCCTGTAATGGTCAGTGAGCTGCTAGAAGCTTTTGAGAGTTGAGTCAGGTTACTTAGTTACTTCCGTCCTGCCCATCCTTTGCCCTGCTTTAATGTCTTGGTAGAGTTGCTTTTTCTTTCTTTCCCTCAGAAGCACCCTCCCCCACTCCAGGCATAATTTTTCCCCCCAGGATCACTTGATTGGACTTCGGAGGCAAGGGAAGGGCATGTGGAGGGAGGAGGCCATTCTCAGCCACTGCACCTCACACCTGCCTGGATGTGTGATGTGTTCTCTGTCCTGTGTGCCTCACTTGGTGTTAGAAAGCAGTTATTCAAAGCTTTGTCCCTCCTACCCACCTTGGTCTTTCTGTAGAGCACAAAAGTAAAAGAAGCCCCTTTAGCAGGGGTGGCAGTTCATTAAAATATACAACTACATTTCCTAGCTCTGGGGTTTCCATTCTGTACTTGAGAGTGCAGGTCACGGATGCTGTTATTAAGGTCTGGTGGGGGATCCAGGTTTTCTCCTGGCAGCCAGTGTCAGGATTAGTGCAGCCCTGGCCTGGGAGGAAACAGCCTAATGAATACCAACCTGGAAACAGTGCTGTCGGCACATTATTTAAGCTTGTACATGCACACAGTTGCACACAATTACACACCACACACACACACACACACACACACACACACACACACACACACACAGAGGCCCGCCATTGGAAACGGGCATGAGAAAAGATGACAAAGATTTGCAAAGATAAACCAATAAGGCACCAAGAAAAATTATGTTCAGCCAATTTAGACAACATCAAAATATAAGGAGGGAAATCATCTAAATTAAAGAGACTTCCTAAAGTCTGGCCAACAGATTCACTGGCAAGTCACATTAGTTCCTTTAGACAACTTTCTAAATCTTCACCCCCAATTCATGAAGTGAGACAATGCTTAAAACTTAACTGTGAAAGGGACAGCCTGGAGGCTGTACGTGTGACATCAGACTGAGCCATAAATCCTCTCCAAGGTCACAAAGCGATCTGTGGAGAAGTTGCTAGACACCACCCCCCACAACCTTTCACTTTATAATTGTTTTCGTGAGTATGGACTGTCTGCATAATAAAAATTGCAAATCAGGGGGAAGGAGTATGTGGAACAGGGCGACCATAAATACATCTGGCTTCTCCACCCTGGGTGGGGGATGGGGTAGTTGACATTAGTAAGACTTTAGGGAAGCAGGTAGGCTTTATTTGAGGGATGAAGAGGAAGAGCTGGGGTAAGAACACAGACTGAAAACAAAGGGGCATCTCTGAAACGTGGTCTGCAACTAGACCCCAGAGGGCATCACCTATATTGCCTCTTCTTGGCTCACTATCCTTTGTCAACCGCCTTTTTTTTCTTCTTCAAATTTTTTTTTTTTGCCTTGGCATGTCAAAATGAAACAGTTTTTTTTTAAATGAAGAATGAATCCACCTTGATCCGTTTCATCCCACAACTTTTAGATGCACTGTGTGTGCATCATTTTCTAGATTCCTCCACAAAGAAAAAGGAAGTTAAGGGGGACAACCCAAGGTAAGCACAATGACTGGAGGCAGCGTGACAATCTGCATACTTTCTGGGAAGACATACTGAAGGAGGGAAGAGGTCAAGGTGATCAGGAAAGGTCCTCATTTAAAAAATACACAAGAATTGGCCCTCAGACAGGGGATCTATTTGAAGGTCCTAAGAAGCAGTTTCTGAATAAGGGCAAGAAGATGTGCAAAAAGTTTGGTAGCTCAATGTGCTAGGTTTTGTTGAATCCGCTCAAATTTTAACTTTGATTCAGAGTGTGAGTGTGTAAGAGCAGTGCATTTTTATAAAAGCAAACAGCTTTGGAGAGTCCCCAAAACGACAATCCCAGGCTTCTCCCTGAAGCAGAGTGTTTAAATTCACTATGGGAACTATGCATTTGTTTCCTTAATATCCATGAAGTGAAACCTGGCCTGGCTTAGATCTTACATTCCCAACTTGGGCATAAAGAAAGCACCAATGCCTCGACTCGTCATTTTCCTAGGGAGTCAGTCTAAATTTTTAATTGTTTTTGATACTTTAGCCTCCTAAATTCAGTCCCCACTCAACCCTGGTCATTGGTATTTTGCTGGCCAATGCACTATCACCTCCGTCTCCAAGTCATGGCCTCACACTCTTCATGAAGGAACCCCTAAACAGATTAGAAAGGCAAACAGAATTCTTAAATAGTAGAGAAACCTGTGTGTGTGTGTTCACATATAGGCTTTCATATATTAATGAATGGTTAAGCATTTCCGAAAGCAAACAGAATTCTCTAATAGCAAAGTGCAGGCGCATGTGCATGTGGGCGCATGCAAGCGTGTGCTTCAGCAATATATTGGCGTTCTCAAAGAGAAAAGACATACCGAGGTGGGGGAGAGAGGACAGCTTTCCTCTTGCAGCAGCAGTACCCTGAGCCAGATTTTAAAACCTTCTATATGTGTATTATGGGTGTCATTTGTTTTGAGAGACTGCAGAGAGCAATGTTTGGCTGCTTTTGGAATATCTGGCTAATAAACTAGTCCAAAGTCCAGGGACACTTATTTTCCCTCATTGCTGCCAATGTTTGTTCACAGGTAGCCAGCCTCCCTGCCCCCAGTTCAAGCACCGCATTCAAGGGTGGGTGTGGCTTCTTAATCACAGCTCTCCAGGAGAGGAGGCATAAGAAAAGCAAAAAGACTGTTTAACATGATAAAGGAGGTGGGATGGGGGTGGAGCAGATAAGAGAAGTGTTAGAAATTTACTTAATTACTGGAGGTATATCCATTTTAGTCCTTACATCTAAAAAGCAGCCCCTTTAACAACTAATCTCTAAGTACTTCCAAAAGAAGGGAGTGGGATTTACCTTTATCAAAATCAGAACACGAGTTCTTTAAAAAAAAAAAAAAAAGGCGGGGGGGGGGGAGGAATCATTGAAGCCTATTAACCACCCACCCCTTCTCTGGCACAAAGCTGCCATTTTACCAGTCTAGAATTCAAGCTCAACCAATCACCACCCTTGAGGTTTTCACTTTTCCAAATATTTATACCGGCACTCTATAATGCTACCTCTAACTTTTTCAAGACAATGCCGGGTGCCGTTAGGAATAAGAATGATTGCAAGTACTACTAAAAGAAACCGAAGCTGGATAAATAAACAAAGCTAGGATGGCACACGCAGAATGGTTAAATGCTCTCCTCTGTAACCTTGTCACTTTGGGGAGGCCCTAGCCCCATGATGCTCCCCCTCCTTGGCATGAATTGGGGTTTCCCCTAACTTAGGGACAAGCAGCTCAACCTTAAAGCATCTCGGACACTTTAAGCAGTGAAAGAAAACAAGCTGAAAAATCACACCCGACAAACCTCCCAGTCATAGCAACCTAAACTTTCACTGTTCACATTTGTTTCAAAGACACAAGTATAGGAAAGAGATTTTCCCAATTTAGACCACACAGTTCAAAGGAACCTGAACCAAGCCGAACTTCATTATAATGCCAACCTTAGGATTGTAAAGCCCCCAAAGCAAAGGTAAATTTTGTTGCCAAAATGCAACAAAATTAAAAACTAAGAAAACTACATATAAATTAAAAAACGGGGTTCCCCTAAAAAAAAAAAAAAAAGGTAGTAAGAAACACAAAATAGAATACACGTGGGCTGAGCCCCTTCGAGAAGTCCTGGGACCGGTACTGCCTTGAAAGGGCCCCTTTCCCCTCTCTCCAAGTTGCCCCAGGAGGGGGCATCAGCACCATGAAGGTAAACGGAAGTGAACTTGGCAAAACTACCAAACAAAACCACCCCCCTCACTCCACTCCCGGCCCCGCTGGGCCTCGGCGTCCTACACGTGCGACAGGGACACCTGCTTGTGGTAGGCGGCGGCGGCGGCGGCGGCGGGGGGGCCCGGCGGCCCGGTCCTGCCCGTGAGCGCGGCGCTCGCCTCGTAGTCCGCGGAGGCCGTGGCGCCGCCGCTCTTGTGGCCTCGCCGCGGGCGGCAGCAGCACCGGCTGGTGAAGCGCCGCCACGACTCCACAGTCTTGCCGGACCAAATCCAGACGCCCGACGTGATGCCCACCACGAGGCACATGAAGTACTTGAGCATGAGCACCCAGTACTCGGGCTTGGCGCGCGGCTGGCCGGCGTCGGGGCCCGGGCACGCGCAGGTGAGCGCGGCCTCCCAGCTCTCGCGATAGTGCTGCTCGTACAGGTAGCAGGCCACCACGATGCCGGCGGGCACGGTGTACAGGAGAGTGAAGATACCGATGCGGATCATGAGCTTCTCCAGCTTGTCCGTCTTGGTGCCGCCCTGCTTGATGACGCTGCGGATGCGGAAGAGCGACACGAACCCCGCCAGGAGGAAGAGGGTGCCCACCAGCAGGTAGAGCACCAGCGGGCCCAGCACGAAGCCGCGCAGCGAGTTCAGGTTCTGGTTGCCCACGTAGCAGATGCCGGCCACCGGGTCCCCGTCCACGGAGCTCAGTGCCAGCGCCGTGATGGACTTGACGCTCGGGATGAGCCACGCGGCCAGGTGGAAGTACTGTGCGTAGCCCGCGATGGCCTCGTTGCCCCACTTCATGCCAGCTGCCAAAAACCAGGTGAGCGACAGGATGACCCACCAGATGGAGCTGGCCATGCCGAAGAAGTAGACCAGGAGGAAGACGACAGTGCACAGCGCAGGGCCCGTCGTCTCGTAGTGAATGTGGCTGTGCTCGCGGCTGCAGGCGACGCTGGCGTGGCCCACCACCAGACGCACCAGGAAGCCCAGCGACACGCACAGATAGCAGGCGGACAGGAAGATGATGGGGCGCTCAGGGTAGCGGAAGCGCTCCATGTCGATTAGGAAGGTGGCCACCGTGGTGGAGGTGGAGATGAAGCACAGCACAGACCACAGCCCAATCCAGAAGGTGGCGAACGTGCGCTCGTCGGGGCTGAAGGAGGGCTGGTAGCAGGGCACCGCGCAGTTCGGCACCTGGCCCGTGCGCACCTTGTTGTAGAGCGGGTGAGACTCCTTCAGGATGGGCACGAAGGGCTCGCGGCACTTGCACACCGACGGGCCCCCGGCGGCGCACTCGCCCCCTGACGCCGGGGCCCCCGCTGGGCCGGGGAGGGTGGGTTTGGCCGGGAAGGGCCTCGGGGGCGCCGTGGTGGCCTCGCTGCGGTTGTAATCCATGCACAGGACCTCGGCGTCGCGGCCCAGCACCGGGAGGCGGTCGCAGCTCATGCGCTCCGGCCAGGCGAAGCCGTACTGGCGCATGAGCGGCGAGCAGCCGGCCTTGGCGCGCTCGCACACCGAGCGGCAGGGCGGCAGCGGCTTGTGGTAGTCGGGCAGGCAGATGGGCGTGTACATGGAGCACAGGAAGAAGCGCAGGTCCGGCGAGCAGTGGATCTCCACCAGCGGCCAGAACTGGTGCACCTCCAGGCCCGCCTCGTCCTGCGTGTCGTGGTTGAACTGGTTGGGCATGTGCGTCAGGTTGTAGCCGATGCCGCGGCACATGGGCACTGTGATTTCCTGGCACACTGGGGCCTTGGAGGCAGCCGCCGCCCGGCCCGCCAGCTGCGCCAGGAGCAGCAGCAGCAGCGAGGGCGGTGCGGATGGGTCGGGCCGAGCCATAGCCCCCTCCCTCCCCTCGCCGCGCCCGCCGCAGCCCGCGCGGGGCCCACGCAGCCGGGGGAAACCGGGCTGGCCTTTCCGCCGACTCGTGTGTGGCGCCCGGGCTGGCAACCTGTTGGTTTCTTTTTCTCTTAAATCCGTCCAAAGATAAACTGTTTCGGGAAGGCGCTGCCTCCGCAGGCAGCGCTCAGCTCTTCGCCAGATAGGGCTGGGGAGGGACGGTTAGGGCTCCGATTCCAGGGGAAGTACTCTTTTAAAAAGAAGCTGAGGGAGAACAAAAATTGCAGCCACTCCCAGTTAGAGGGGAGGCAAGGGCCCGGTCCCCGCAAGCGCTCTCCAAATCTCCAAGTTAACGTCTCTCCTTTCCCTCCCCTCCACCTCCGGGAACCAAACCACTGACCCCCTCCTCCCTTTAGGCTGGGCCTTCTAGGCTACACCCCGGGGTCTGAGAGCTCAGCCGCCTGGAAAAGCGCGGAGGAACCGGGAAAAGAACGCGGAGAAAGGGGTTAGGCGCGGGCTCTCACCTTCGCGGATCCTGAGAAGCCGATAGTCGGCAGCCAGCCTGGGTCCTGTGTTCCTGGGGCACTCGCTCAGAAATGCGACTCAGAGACGGGCTGGCACCCGGAAAGTTTGGCGATAGGCTGGGTACCCGGGGCGAGGCACATGGCAGCAGGTGGGGGCTTCTCAGAGAGGGGGTCGCACCCTGAACGCGGTCGCCGCAGGCCGGTCACTCGCCCTCTCCTCCTCCGGGGCCCCCCGCATGATCCGAGCGGGGCAGAGCAGGAGCCGACCGTGCGTTCTACCGGGGTCCGGGAGCCGGGCGAAGGGCGAGCGCGCCCGGCGGCACCTGGGCGAGAGGAAGGCGGCGTGCGGCAGTCTGGGGATCCCGCCGCCTCACCGCACCGCGAGCAGCTGGCGCTGGCCCCGCCGGGGCTGCATGGTGCTCGCCCGCCGCCGCGTCCCGCCGGCCGCTCGCCTCCTCCCCTGCAGGGGGCTCCGCGCTCCAGCGGACTCCTGGGGGCGGCGGCGGCGCTCCCGGGACGCGCCCGGCTCGGCTCCTCCCCCGCACTCTCTCACTCTTTTGCCCACCTCCGGCGGGCACCGAACGGCGCGCGCGGCGGCGGCGACAGTGGAGTCACGGCCGCGGGCTAACTGGCCTCTCTGGCCCCGCCCGGGTCACCTGCCTCTAATGCCCGCCGGGAGGCCCCGCCCCTTCCACGCCCCCTCGCTCTCGGGCTCGGTTGGTGGGCCGCCCCGCCACGTTCTCCGCGCGTCCCCGCCCACTGCCCCGCGGGCTCGGCCTCTCCCCCTGCGCCCTCCGGCCCCGCCCGGAGCCGGCCGCCGAAGAGCGCCGGCCAATAGCTGGCGGGAACGCGATGAGGGCGGGGCGAATGCTAATCTCCCCTTCTGGAGACCCCCGGCGGGAAACCCTCGCCAGAAGTCCCTGCGGAGCTCTCCGCGGGCGCACACCGGTCCCGGCTCACTGTCCTGTGATAGGCTGGCTTAGGAACCCTTGCTTCCAGGGCCTCTCCCAGGTCTCTCTGCAGCTAAAACTCCTTAGAGTCCAGCGCTTGTTTAAAAGAACCGCTCGAAGAATCATTCTTAACCGCGGCACCTGTCTCCGCTCTGCGCCGTCCTATCAGGTGAGCTCACACTGAGAGTAGAGCGAAGGCACGTTGAGCCCCTACTGCGTGCCAGACAGCGCGTTAATCGTTTCTATCTTAATACAGGATCTCAGATCTTTACAGTCCTGTGAGACAGGTACTCCTTACAGCCGAAGGAGCAAATGTTGAGAAACTGACCAAGGCCACCTAGCTAATACTTCCCCAAGAAAGCCGCAAGATAGGCAGTTTCACCCCAGTATTCCGAGCGCCTGGCACACAGTAGGCGCTCAAATGCTAACTCAGGATTCGAACCCACATATCCGCGTACCAATTTTAACCACTCCCCACACCCAGGTACTACCTGTATCTCCTAGTCTTCAGCCTTTACTGTTGCATTTAACACAATCTTATTGTCGCCAGAAAAGATTTTCTTCCGGTCTTTGGAAGACTCGAGAGATGTTAGTCCTTTATCAGTCGAAGTTTAAAATCCCGGGCAGTTCCGAAATCGCCTGCGGAGAGAAGCCGAGGCGGCTGGCCCCCCGGGGCTGCGGGGCTGCGTGTGGTAAGAGCCGCGCACTGGCTCGCCTCTGGGGGGCCGGGGCGCTGGGCGCAGCCCCGCGGCCGGAAGGCCAGCTGGGTGCCCCGACTGCTGGGACGCACAGTGGCGCTCTCCAGATAGGTTATTATGCTGCAAGTTTTAAATGTCCTAAAAATGCCTCTTTTCTACTTGTTCTAATTAGGTTGGGAGACTGAGGTGTTTAGCATTCTTGAAATTCATTCACACGCTTACAAAGAGGGTTTGAATTGTTTCCCTCTCCCCCCACCCCTCGCTTCTTCTGGGAAGAAGGCGGAAAAAAAAAAAAAAAAAAGCAGGAGGGCCTGGGTACTTCAAGGAGTCAGGACTGGACTAAAGGGCTGAGATATATAGACCGCAGTTACTGTCGTTCTTCTGCCCTGGATCCCATTTGTACAGACCGGGAGACTGGATTGCAGAAGAGCCCTCTCCTTCCTGCTCATCACCAAGGCTTTGTGGAAAATAATGAAGAGTACATGCATTAATCCCAGACTCAGAGTTTAAAGTGAATAAATACAATTGTTTCACAAGCATCGAAACTATTAATAGATATGTTTAGAATGTACCTTCCACCTTTCAGTCCCTGAAATTCTACAGGTGTTCATATTTAACCTCTTCTGTGTTTTGGAAACACTTGGCACTCTGGGTCAGCAAACATCCCGGGGTTGAAAGTAGTGGGAGTTGAAAAGCTATGGAATAGCAATCAAAAAGAAAGGGAAACCCTCAGTGGAAAGTATGTGCAGACTGTGAAAATGCCAAGCAAGGGCTGTCTCATTCTGTGCCCTTTATGCAACGTGTGTATTATTGGGGATGGACAAGTGTTGGCTAATAATAAAAATTATTTGAAGTTGAAGAATGTTAATCACTCGCACTGGAATTTAGCCAGAATACTTGTGTTATTTCACTTGATTCTGATTTAGACGATGTTATCTACTGGTCTGCAAACCTTTCTTTGCCTTCTTAATCAAGAGCCAAATGTTATTTTTGCTTAGAGATCTCTAATAATAGTAGTAATAACAGCAGGAAACTTTGCCAAAAGAGACTTATTTTGCATTGTATAGTTTTTGTATCATTTAAATTTTTACTTTTTTACGTATACTACTTCAGTTTTTAAAGGCAGTTTAAAATATGCTGTTTAACATGTAGTAGGCAGGCTGCTAAATAATTCATGTACAGCTCATTTAATCGTTGCAACAATCAGATAAAATGGGTACCATAATGACTTGCTTGAGGTGACCTATTTAGTCCATCAAAAGGATAGAAACCAAACTGTTCTCCTGACTCATTATTATTCAACAAACTAGAAAACACTACATGATTTTTTAAGTGCAATTTGTAAGCATTCTTGTCTATGAAATCACTCATCTATCCTTCCATGTACCCATTCGTCCATCTATCATCCATCCATCCATCCATCATCCATCCATCCATCCATCCAAGAAACATCCGTTTCTGAGTTGAAGACGCAACTGCTATGTTAAACATGTGTCTGCAAAACCAAATTCATGAAATTCAACTTAAATTGTTGTCCAACGTGTGTTTATGAATTGATGAAAATACAGAGAACGATGCTAAACTTTCCATCAAGAGGGGCACCTGGGTGGCTCAGTTTGTTAAACGCCAGACTTCGGCTCAGGTCATGATCTCACAGTTTATGGGTTCCAGCCCTGCACTGGGCTCTGAGCTGACGGCTCAGAGCCTGGAGCCTGCTTGGAATTCTGTCTCCCTCTCTCTCCGCCCCTCCCCCGCTCACGCTCTGTCTCCCAAAAATAAATAGACATTAAATATTAATAAAAATTAAACATTCTATCAAATGAGTGTGTGAAATTCCCAAAGTTTTGAGGTCCTGGTCTTGGATTTGGTCATCAGGGAATAGCTGGAGCATTTTTAATCTCACTAGACTTGTGTTCTTTACACATGCATTGTTCTGTTGAGACACCTGAGAGTTCCATGCTATAGGAATGACTGGACAGGTTAACTTTGTGTACTCTTCAGTGTCTTCATAATCAAGCCTGCAAAGTAGGCTTGCACACAAAAACCTTCAATAAATATTGTGAAATAGGGGATGAATGATTGACAACATGAAGGAGATTCCCTCTCTCAACTTTAGTAGCTGTCATTGAATCCTTGCATACAGCTTCTCTTATATCTCTGAGGTTGACCATATATAAATGGAGCACGAGTCCAAACCAGGTCTCTGCCTTTACTAGCTAAACCACCTAACAGCTCCAGGGTCGCTCTCCTTGTCTGCAAAATGGAGTTACAAATAGTTAGCTCCCTCATAGCGCTGTAGTGAGGGGTAAATGAATTTATATGGTAAAGACTTAGAACCTCATTTAATGCCTGGGAAGTCTATATAGTCTTAGTCATTATTAGTTTCTACTGTTTTCCCAATCTTTTATATTCTCTTTTGTGTATTACGTTCATGATGGGGGGAAAGTTACACTTTTTAGATGTACTTCATGTCAGAGCACACTCTCAGCTGTCACCAGCCATCTCTGGTACTTAGGTACAGTTTATGCCAAAGCAGAGATCATTTCACTTGCCCTGAATGCAAGTGCAACCAGCCAGTCAGTGTGCAAACAGGCACAGGGCCGCCCCAGGAGAGACACCGGCAGCCATCACGAATCCCTCACAGGTGTTTCCAGACTAACTCCTTACATGTCCTGGAGCACTTCTGATCGCTTCTTTTACCAGATCCCACACCTCTAGATGAGAAAGCAAGACATTAACCCGAGGATTAACAAGATGCGTCATTTACCCATATGCGTAATGAGCATGTGTTCTTCACATTGTAAGAGGAATAATTCAACAATAATCTTCAGTCCTTTCCACTCCGCCATGGTGGCATGGTGGAGATTATAGAAAAGTAAAAGCTTTTTCTTCCCCTAAACGTAATGGAAGTACTCATCTTTCCCACATTGAACTGTGGCACTTAGCCGCACATTATGATCACCTAGGGGAGCTTTGAGAAACATTGATGCCTGAGCCTTCTTAAATCAAAATCTCTAGTTCAGGGACCATTGAGATCTCAGTTTTTGGTTTTGCTTGTCTGTTTGTTTGTATTGCTGTTTTGTTTTAACTCTCCAGGTGATCCTGATTTTTAGCTAGGGTCGAGGATGACTGCCACAGATGCTTTTGTTCTTTCCTCAGTACAGCCCCAGGCCCAGCTGGATCTTCTGCAAAAAGGGTTAATCACACCAGTGTGCAAATGGAGCACCTTGGGAGAAAGTGTAGGGAAGTGCAGCCTAATTGCATGTGAGTCTGTTGGGGCTGAAGGAAAAACTGTGTAAAGCAACAGAACTCTGCTATAGTGATGATACAGTTAACAGCAGCAAGGACAATAATAACACTTTAAATATATAATCTCTTTTACCCCTGAGAATCTTGGAAGGGTGATATTATTATTTCCTTGTTATAGGTGAAGAAACTGAGGTTCAGGAAAGTTAAGTAACTTGATATACAAGGTGACACAGCTTCCAACTTAGATGCTCTCAACTCCAAAGCCTATGCAGCCATCGACGGCAGACCTCAGGTTAAGCCCAGCAGAGAGCGTCCTCAGAACCACCAGATGGTAAGTCTTGAGATAAGCAAACTCCCTTGTTCCTTGGCATCGCTTTTCTAGGGACCAGGTTGAATCTTCAGTTCTGGTGTGGCCTCTTGGGGAGGAGGGGCTAACATGTGAAAACGCCAAAGGCTCTGGATTTACCTGGAATCCAGTGTAAGACTAGAGCCAATTTATTCTTGGGGCTTTGCAGACTAGGCATGAGGTAGGATGCCCCTTAGACTTAGAACTTCCCTGGCATCTTGGCAGAGAAAGCTCCGGGTCAGTGGATATTGGTGGGATGCCTGCTGTGGGCCAAGTGTTGGTGCTTGGGTGTAGAGATGATGAGGCATGGCCTTTCCAGGCAGGGCATGGTGGGGGCATAACAGAGGCACCTATCCCAACTTGGTGGCTCAAGAAGACCTGGGCTGTGCCCAGAAGGCTGAATAGGGAGTTAGACAATCTATCAGTCAGGGTTTAGTACAGGAAAGAGAAACCACTCTAGGTATTTCAAGCAGAGGAAGACTTAATACTGAGAATCAAGTGGGGCCTCATTAAATTGGTGGAAAGGCTGGAGGGGCAGAAGTCAGGAGGCTACCTGGACTATTGAGTTCAAGGGACCACCAGAGTAGCTGAGTCCCAGAAGTCAATGGTATTGCTGCCGCAGCTGCCTTCATGCCCATGAACCTTGGTGACTAGACACTGAGACAGGACAGAGTCCAGCATTGAAGCCACTTAGCATCACCTCTCAGACTGCACTTTCAGCCTCAGCAGGAACAGCCTGGTGCCTTCCCCTTGCACCTGCTGGATCTTGGAGGAATGCATCTGGTTGACCAAACTTATGTCATATCCAGACCCTAGCTGCAAGAGAGTCTGGGAAATGTCATTTTCAAGTGTCCAGCGTCTCCAACTGGATTTCTAGAAGGATTTAACAGAAACAATCCTTAGTATCTACTACAGGTGAAAAAACGGAGAACTTTCTCGACAGCAGAGTCCACACAAGTAAAGGGCATAAGGAGCACAGAAGAGCACAGTACAATGGCTCTCAGGGAGTAACAGAAGCATCTGAATCCAAGTTTTTACCTGAAAGCATACTTATGTCTAATTAGAGTATTTTTAAATTTAGAGCCATACATATCCTCTACAAATAACCTGCTTTTATTGATACAGTGCTAGACTTCTTCAACTGACTCCTAATGAAGAAGGAGAAAAGAAATGAGCAAAGAGCACAACAAAGAAATAGATGAAAGTATTAGGTGATATTCACGCACCCAGAGAAAACAGAACCTTCACCTTCTCCAAGTGTAATGCTGCAAACACTGTTGAGTCATCTCAAGAGTCGTCTCCTTTTTCTCTTTCCTAACGGAACCCCAGTTTTTGGTTTTGTTTTATTTTGAGTCTACACTTTTCTGTACAGCCATGTGCCCCAAGGGGGCTCAGTCCAAGCCTCAAGGAGTAACATGTATTTGGTCTAGCCCATCATGATCCCCCACTTCCTCTTATCAGCATATAGGTTACGCAGGTGCACAGGGCACAGTTCTGGCCAATAAGGGGAGGGGAACGCTGATGGGAAAGATTTTACTCCAAAGGAGAAGCAGCCATCTCTCTTGCTGGGTATTATTTTGTCTGTATGCAGCGCCTACCATTGTGGGCACTGTCCTGTAACCGGGAAAGGGCTAAGCTGCCACGTGAGGAGGAATGACATTGAGGCTGCCTGATCTTCCAGTCTCCAGACTTCTTGTTACGTGATGCAACACACTGCTGGCTTTTTTAAGCTGACTGAGTCACTGTTTTCTGTCACTTGCAACTGAGAACATCGTGACTACTACACGCAGTCTGTGGATTCAGGATGAGGATCTGCCCACTTGGGTAATAGAAGTCTCTAGAGGAAATTTAAGGACAAACATTTATTCTCCCCCCCTCTTTTTTTTTTTTTTTTCCAGAAAAACTGTTATTCATCCTTCAAAAGTATTCAAGATCCACTCAAATGTCATTCCTGTCTGGCTGAGCTGTTTGTTACAGACTGTATTCCCACAACCCTTCTCCCGCCCCTCTATTACAGCATTTTCCTCCTTCTCTTTCAACAAATATTTATGGAGTACCTATTATGGATTTGGTCATCTTTTAGGCAGAGGAGATACAGCAGGGAACTAAATGCATGGAGATGCCAGTCTAGTGGCAAGACAGAAAATGATGGAGAACAGTTAAATATGATGGCTTTTATCAAAGGGCGGGGGGGGGGGGGAATTCTGACGGCAGCATTTAAAACAGGAAGAAATAACTACCTTGAATTTATTTTATTGTGCTGTGATTATCTGTTCATGTATCAGTTTTTTCCGATCAATTGTATGTTCTTGCAACTTCACATCCCTCACCCTCTCCCTAAGAAACTGGATTTTCCAAAGGTGACTGAAAAAACTACTCCCCTCCTGGGTGTTCTACAATGAAAACTTGCCATTCCCCATAGGGGAGGGAAGTAGGAGGTCCTAGGTCCCCTCCCCTTGAATCTCAGTGGGCTTGTGATGATTTTGGCCAACAGAACATGCCGGAAGAGATGTGACAGGACTTTCGTGGATAGATCATAAAAGCAGCTTCTATCTACTTCTCTTGGAGCACTTGTTTTCTGAAATGTTCCTTCTCTGGGTCACTCCCTCTTGGAACCTATATGTAGATGCTCCAGGTGACAGTTCCAGCTAAAGGAGCGGACAAGTCGTCCCAGGCCAGGAGTTGGACGTATGAACAAAGGAACTTCCAGATGATTCCAGCCCTCAGCCTCAAGTTTTCCCAACTGAGGCCCCCGGTATCAGGAAGCAAAACCAAGCCACCCCTTGCTGTGCTTTCTGCTAACTCATGGTCTACAGCACCCTGAGCGTAATAAAATGAACACTGGGTTTGCACCACTAGTTTGGAGTGGGCTGTTATACAGTGGTGATGATTGGAATACCCCAAAGCTGTCTTCCTGTGACATCTTAGATGACCAAGTAGACAACTTTTTTTCTTTTTACCTGACCCAGCTGGTGATCAGCTTAGGCACTGAAGCTCAAGAACTTTCATCCGACTTTCATCCTGTTGAAGCTTGCTGATGATGATATGCATGGGAAATGTCTAATCTTTTAAAACACAAATCTTCACCATTGATCTTAATATCCTGCTGCAGTGAGTTCTCTAGGTCAATTGTGTATAGTGGGGAAAAAAGTACCTCCTTTTATCCATTTTAAACATGCTTTCTTTTCATCCCATCTTGTTCTTCCCCAAGTAAAGCAATTTCCATTTTGTGGCTACCTAGACACGGAGAGCTGAGTTGAGACAATAATCTTGCTTTGAGCTGGTTACCCACAAGGCCTCAGGCATGCTGAGACATGGCACAGCGGATCTGGTAACTTCAAGGTGGTGGGGCACTCTGTTCTAATTAGTCACGGGTTTAGTGCCAGGCTCTTAAAAACTAGTCTCTAAATTCTGCAAGAGGCAATGGGTCTCTTCCTGCGGGGTTGGTAAACAGAGCACAGTATAGTGGGAAGAGCTTTGGCTAGTACATGCACAATCTGGATTCAAGTCTTTGTTATTTTTATTTTTATTTATTTATTTATTTATTTTTGAGAGAGAGAGGCAGAGAGGGAGACAGAGAATCCCAAGCAGGCCCTGTGCTGTCAGCACAGAGCCTGATGTGGGGCTTGAACTCACAAACCATGAGATCATGACCTGAGCCAAAATCAAGTCAGATGCTTAACCAACTGAGACACCCAGGTGCCCCTGGATTCAAGTCTTATCTTGTGAGTGAGATGTGTTTCCTTGGACATACCACTTAACCTCTGTAGACCTCATTTTCTTCAACTATAGAATGAGACTCAACCGGAGGGCCCTGTGGCATGCTTTTGTCTCTAACATTCTATGAATTATACATATTTGCCAGTCATTTGAAACATCTACTATGTGAATTCATGGGAAGAAAAAGTTTGTTACTCAACAGTTTTCCCTTTTTAGCTTTAAAGCAGGGCTGGAGAGAACCCTTTCTCCCCCTGAAAAAAAATCTTCTAGGTTTGTTTGGTTTTTTTTTTAGAACAAATGTTATCTTTTTCCAAAAACAGAATCCAAACTAGGCTTCGATTACCAAAAATAGGTTCTCACTGTGGCTGGTAGGTGAGAGCTGCCGCAGCCCGAGTCCTTCTGGTTTGGGGGTGCGCCTCTAGAACTCCCTTCTGTCTTCCATTCTCACAACTGCTTGCAGGGTTCATGCGAGCTGTTCATGAAGCTGAGACGGCTTCATGCCAAGGGATGAGAATGAATGGCTGAGGGAACCACCTTGCTGTATGACCACCTTGTGGAGGAAAAAGAATATTGTCCAGTGAGCAATGCAGTAGGAACTATTCAAGCAAATCTTGAACAGTCTGTAGTGTCTTCACAATCCTCTTTTCCAAACAGAGGGAGAGAGCAGTCACCAGCTCGGGTTTAGGGAAAGCCTTCAGTCTTACTCAGGTTGGACCCACTGTGCTTATTTCATGGTCTGCTAAATATTTCTTCAGCAGTTGTGATACTTAGAACTTCACGGGCTCTAACCCGCTTCTTCAGCCCTGGATTTGGTTTTCTCTTACTGAATACTCACTTTCCAATCTCAAGTAGGGAGAAATGCTTCTCATCTCTGATTTTTTAAATTCATTGTGGAACTGCCACTCTTGAAGAGCTATCAGATTGTGGGGACGGATTGCTTCTTGCTGCTGGGTTAGCAAACTTATGAATAGCAAGGAACAGCGTGAGAAAGCTCTGCTTGACAGAAACTGATTTGCGGGGTGAACATAACCCCTGAGGTCTTTATCATCGGTGGAGGGTATGACTCTTAGGTTTAAGGTATGTAGGAGAATTACAGGAATGAAAGTAATAAAATACCTAATCCCTAGAAAAGCTTTTTAAAAACAGGAATCCTCAAGAAGAACCCTCCTCTATCTCCCTTAATAACGTATCTCATGTCCTAAATGATCACACGTAGCCCCATCATCATACATAAGAATGTTCCTGTGTGTTTGTTAAAACCTTCA